GCCGGCACGCTACACCTCAGTCACAGCCCCCTCAAAGACCTCGTGTTCCTGAAGATGCGAGAGTTTTTCGCCCACCTCATCGACAGTTTCCGGGAGGGCCCCGTCAGCGTCCCCCCGCGACCACTAAAAATCGCACACGTAAAGCCTGAGACAGTCAGGCCGGCGGTCGATCATTTTTCTGTAGAGCAACTGGAGTACTGGAGATCCAACACAGCAGACCCCTGGGTGTTGGCGACTCTGAGCAGGGGATATACTCTACAGTTTCGGCGCCGGCCTCCCAGATTTTCAAGAATTGTTCCTACGATTGTCAGAGACGCGGTTCGCGCAGTGGCTCTCTCTCTGGAAATCTGTTCACTGTTAGAGAAGGGAGCCATAGAAAAGGTCCATCCCCTCGTTCAGAGAGACGGGTTCTATTCAACTTATTTTCTTGTTCCAAAGAAGGACGGTGGTTTCCGCCCAATTCTCGATTTAAGGCTTCTGAATTTGTTCCTGAAGGTCCTTCCCTTCCGAATGCTGCGCACAGCCGATGTTCTCCGGTCTGTGACAGCAGACGATTGGTTTGTAAGTGTCGATCTGAAAGATGCATACTTTCACGTCCCAATTGCTGTACATCACAGAAAGTTTCTACGTTTCAGTTTCCTGAATCAAGCATACCAGTTCAAAGTGCTACCCTTCGGCCTTTCCCTTGCTCCTCGCGTCTTCACAAGGTGTGTGAGCGCAGCTCTGTCTCCTCTTTGGATGAGAGGTATCCGTATTCTTCCTTATTTGGACGACTGGCTTCTCTGTGCCCCCACAGAGCAGCAGGCCGTACAAGACTCCAGACTGCTCTTGAGACATGTGCAGAAGCTGGGGTTTTCTGTGAACAAGAAAAAGAGCCGTTTGATTCCATCACAGACCACTACGTTCATAGGAATGACCCTGAATTCCTGCCTAATGTCTGCCTCCCTATCTCAGGAACGTGTGACAAACATTCTACAACTTTTGGCTCGCTTTCGTCCGGGTGTGTCTTTGCAGTACGAGGTGGTCCTACGACTGATAGGGATGTTAACAGCGGCTACAGTTGTGATCCCCCTGGGTTTACTCCATCTCAGACCACTCCAGTTATGGAACAACAGTTTGCGGCTAGATCCCACCAGACATCGTCATCAACTGGTTATAATTTCTCACCGTTGCATATGTGCGTTGAGGCGGTGGAGACAGTTAGAGTTTCTGAAGGCAGGAGTGCCCCTGGGTGTTGTTCCCTCTCGTCGGGAGTTGGTCACGACAGACGCTTCCCTCACAGGATGGGGGGCAACGTGGAATCGGAGGGGTATTTCCGGGCGCTGGACTCCGATCCAGGCCGCGGAACATATCAACCTGCTAGAACTCAGGGCAGTGTTCTTGGCTCTAAAGTACTTCATGCCGGTTCTGGCAGGCCGCCATGTTCTTGTTCGGTCAGACAATACCTCAACAGTGTTCCATCTGAACCACCAGGGCGGCACGAGATCCCGCAGGTCTCTATGGTTGACTCACGAGATCCTGACATGGTGTCAGCCACGACTCGCTTCACTGAGGGCAGCTCATATTCCAGGAGTGTGCAACCAGACAGCAGATGCTCTTTCCAGGGATCAAGTACATCCAGGAGAATGGAGGCTTCATCCAGATGTAGTGCAGGAGATCTGGCTACGATTTGGAAGAGCAGAGGTGGATCTTTTTGCTTCAGAGATGACCACCCACTGTCGCTTATGGTTCGCAAGGACAGAAGTGTCGAGCCCCCTGGGCCAGGATGCGCTGTCTCACGAATGGCCGAACTGCCTGCTTTATGCGTTTCCACCTACCCCTCTGTTATGGGAGACGTTGCACAGGATCTCCCTGTGCAAGCACAGAGTGTTACTCGTGGCACCACGATGGCCAGCCAGACCGTGGTTTCCTTTGTTGCTGAGACTTCTGACAGGCAATCCATGGAAGCTTCCCCCCAGGAAGGACCTCCTCTCCCAGTTGGAGGCCAGTGTCTGGCACCCGGACCCGGCTCGTCTGCAGCTTTGGGTCTGGCCATTGGGTTAAATCCTTCCCTGGAGCATTGTGACCCTGCTGTTATTCACACAATCTCTAATGCTAGGGCTTCTTCCACACGACAGATTTATGCTTCCCGTTGGAAGCTTTTTTCTGCATGGTGTAAGGAACGGGGGCTCGATCCTGCAACATGCGACATTCCGCGTGTCTTAAGTTTTCTTCAACGTTTACTGGAGGAAGGAAAAGCAGCTTCCACGTTGAAAGTGTACGTTGCTGCAATTTCTGCATATCATGTTCCAGTTGGTGGCTCTTCTCTTGGCTCTCACCGTCTTGTCTGCAGTTTTCTGAAGGGCGCACGCCGTCTGAACCCTGCTCGGAATCCTCATTTTCCTGTGTGGGATTTGTCACTCGTACTTGCATTCCTGTGCTCACCCCAGTTTGAGCCCTTGCAAAATGTTGACATTAAATGGTTGTCCTTGAAGACTTCTTTTTTGTTAGCTATTGCTACTGCGAAACGAGTCAGTGAGTTGCACGCGTTGTCTGTTAGTGAACTGTGCTTGCGTTGGTTACCGGATGGCTCCGGGGTGGTTCTACGACCCAATCCTTCTTTTCTTCCGAAGGTCCTTCTTCCTCAGTTCATAAATCAGCATATTGAACTGGCCTCCTTTCAGACTTCTTCAGGGTCCGATTCAAGTGCCCAACTCTTGTGTCCTGTTCGGGCCTTGAAGTGTTATGTGAACTCTACTGTTCAATTTAGACGGTCAGACCAGTTATTTGTCTGCCATGGTGGTGTGAAGAAAGGTGCTCCAGTGTCGAAACAGAGGTTGTCGAACTGGATAGTGGAGACCATTACGCTGGCTTACAAGGCGGCAGGGAGACCACTGCCCTGGAGACTAACTTGCCATTCCACTAGGGCCATTTCATCTTCATGGGCTGTTTTTAGAGGAGTTTCCCTGGTGGATATCTGCACTGCTGCTACCTGGGCTTCTCCATGCACGTTTGCCCGGTTTTATAAGGTCAACGTTGCTGCTCATCATGCCGTTAGTTCTGCGGTTCTTCTGGAACAGCCTTAATTTCATCAGGTGGGTGGCATTCCTCATGACTATGTTGGTATGTGTCATCCATAGTGTTTACACTGCCTCTGGCGGTCAGTAAGAATGAAACAGAACGCTAGTTACGCATGTAACTGTGGTTCTGTGAATTCTGGATGACCGCCAGAGTTCTCTGTCACTCGGAATGCGCGAGAAAGGCGTACCGAGGTAGAGTGCTGAGCTACTGTAGCTTTACCCTCCAGGGCTCAGCATACGTCACGCCACGTGACTTTGTTGGTATATTCTCTCGACCTATCTAGCTGGCGCTGCGATAATCCATAGTGTTTACACTGCCTCTGGCGGTCATCCAGAATTCACAGAACCACAGTTACATGCGTAACTAGCGTTCTCTTTCATGGCATACTGCACTTTATCAAGCACACCTCGCTCTTTATTACTCATTTATGATTCTTTACCATTCTAACATTTCAATAACTCCTGACCACTAAAAGTTGCACAGGTATACTGTATTCATACCCCGATATATAAACCATACAGAAAAAGTTGAATCAATTTACACTTTATATCATCGCCAACATATATATTGTCATATCACCGAGCCATAGCAAACAGTAATGCTAAAATGTTAATGAACACATTTGACTAGCTAGTTGATAAAAACAAAATCTGACCGAAATAAAACAAAAAACCTATCAAGACTGACTGGCTCTAATGTCCAGTGCTAGTGCTAATGCTATTTTCCCCTTGATAGTGGTCTTTTTCCCCTTCATTTTTATTAAAGGCAAATTTGAACGTACGGTGTTCCATTCTAACCTTAATTAATAAGTAAAATTGACCTTGACATCCTCACCTTATCTTATGCTGCCTTCACATATCAAAATGACTGTGAATGAGTTTCCTAGTTGGAAATTGGACATGAACGCCCTTGCCATTTACTACTGGGAAACTCACAGATCATTTTTATACCCAAGTTTCTGATAGGTGTGCCATAAACTTTAAACATGGCGGAGGGAAAAACAGTTGTTGCTGTGACAGGAATGCTTTTTCTAGATCACCTTGTTTTAATGTTAAAGTAGTACATAGTAGTGCAATAACCATTTCAAGAATTTTGTATGTTTTATACACAGCAAAACAGCATGTATTTGACTGAAAATCCAGAATCGTGATCTAGCAATCTATATAGATAGATGTGTAAATGTTTATAATGGTTGTCAACAAATCAGATAATCTTATTCAAAATGAAATATCTTCAAAAGATTTGGGCTTTAATAAGATTTCCCCAAGAAACCTGGTGTCCTCATGATTTCTATTCTTTCCAACAGCAAAGCACTTGAATAAGAGAAGCTTGTAATCACGTTACGACTTCAGAAATTGGAAGTAGGAAATTTCTGATTGCACATGAAGACAGCTTTATTCCTAATTTCCCTAGGAATCCAGAAAATTCACTCACCCAATTATAGATGGAGTCATACATCTGCAGCTTACGTGCATGAAAGTGGCACGTTGATACAGTGAACTGAAAGTGAACTAGTTGATACAGGAAATCAGCAGCCTAATAAAGAGGTTGACTGCCAAAAAGTATTTTATGTATTTTGAAAATACAAAAATTCTAAGATTAAATGCATTTCAATACAAAATACATTTGATTTTTTTCATCTGCTTGTAAGCAGGACTCTATTACTATACCCTAACTGATGATCTAGAGCACAACTGTTTTATATAAACATAAGCATAACAGTGTTAACTAAATACTTGATATAAACATTTATATGGAGTAATTCATTAAAAACTAGCAGCAACTGTCACTGCTCATATGGTTTTGAATTGAATTTTTTATTTGTTGGGTTTCCCCAAGCTGTGGTGAGATTTTAGTTGCGTCCATGTGGTTAAGATGAAATGTTTTTTTTTTTTCAAGTATCGCATGTGACATCAGAGATAGGATCTTTTAAGCTCAGTTGTTCTGCTGACAGGTCTTTTTTTCACCTTATGCTATTGTAATACGGGGCATTTTACATCTTTCACAACCATTCTGTTTTGCAGGTCAACTCTTTCTGCAGGTAAGTGCGTCTATGCATTAAGAGCAACTTAAAAGAAACATCAAAGTTGCTGATGATATATATATATATATATATATATATATATATATATGGGACATCAAGTTGATAGATTTGTGACATTTATATGTGTTCCCATTCAACATTTTTATAATTCGATTTTGCAATATGATACATGATTGATAATTTCTAAAATGAATACAAAATTAGCTAATTGATAGCTGAGAATGGATATTCTGCTATTTTATTTAATTAAAATGTTGCATCTCAGCAAAAAAAGCATTAAATACTTTCATTCTGTCTCATAACTTGCTATCAGTTGTTTAAAATGAAAGTGAGAACATTTGAATACATGCCCGGTTTCACATAGTGTCACAATGTAACTTGTGGTTTTCTTTAGGTCTTGCAGATCACATCATTAAACATGTTTTGGCCCTTGTCAGTGATTCTGGCTCTTACCTCAGTGGTTGATGCCTGTCCAATACCATGTAAATGTGAAGATTTTGACATTATAATATGCTCAAGCCAGAAACTTCTGGAGGTCCCTTATCTGCCTCAGGGTACCAGGCAATTATATGCCACAAATAACATGATTGAAGCTCTCCCAAATGAAGGTTTGGAAGAATTGTTGGTTCTCGACCTCACCAAGAATGTCTTCAATATGTCACTGAATACCAACTGGCAGAACATGAGCAGACTTTCAAAGCTATTTCTGAGTGAAAATGGACTGAGTACATTAGGACCAAGACAATTTCATGGGTTGCTGAACCTCCAAGTGTTGGATCTCAGTGACAATTGCATTAAAACTCTTCCTCAGATGTTTCTATATGGTCTGACCAAGCTTCAAATCCTCTATTTGAATATGAACGAGATATTTAGTTTATCTGATGGGGTCCTGGAGGGAGCTCCTGCCCTTATGGACCTTCAACTGAGAAATAACATGATCGAGATGATCGAGGTGGATGTATTTGAGAACTGCACCCATCTAGCTAAACTCTATCTGTCAATAAACAACCTAAAAAATGTAGGCAATGGGAGTTTTAAGGGTGCCATAAGGCTACAGCATCTCGATCTTAGTCGAAATGGACTAGATGCCATACCTACCAGTGTCCTTCAGGATACATCAAACCTCAGTAGCCTCTATCTTCAAAAAAATTCCATAACTTCAATTCCTGAGGACATTTTCACTAAGGTTCCAGCACTGAGGCATTTGGATATGAGTCATAATGCTCTTGTTTCTATGTCTGACGGTTCCCTCAGAGGTCTTTCCCAGTTGGGCGCATTGGATTTGAGTTTCAACAAGTTAGGGACACTTACGCCACATGTGTTTCAAGACTTGGGGAAGCTTGAGAACCTTAATTTGTATCACAACAATCTGATGTCCCTTCCGAACATCGTGTTTAACAACTTAAGCAGGGTAACTGAGCTCCTGCTGGACAACAATAATATTTCTGCTATTCCACTAGACCTATTTTACCCACTTTCAGCATTGCACGATCTACAATTGGACAACAATCGCATTTCGGAGCTCCACTCACACACGTTTATGAAGCTGAGGAAGCTTAAGCATCTCGATCTTAGCAACAACACCCTTGTGAAGATTCCCAAGTACCTCTTCAGAAGGAAACATCATCTGAGGGATCTCAATATGGAAAACAATCATATCCACTCCATTCCAGAGTTGTCCTTTAAAGGTTTAGTCAGACTACGGACTCTGAAACTCAGCAACAACCACCTGGCAAGACTATTTACAGAGCTACTGACTAGCCTTAGTCATTTACGGGAGTTATGGCTGAACAACAACCAGATTGAAACCATCCCTATTGGATTTTTCACAGGTCTTATGGACCTGAGGGTTCTAGATATGTCCAACAATAAGTTGCATTTCATCTCCTCCGATATCTTCAAAGATCTGTTCAAACTGAAAGAGCTGGATCTGAGCTTTAATACTCTCAAAAAGCTTCCAGATGACATCTTCACATCTTTGAGAAATCTCACATTACTCCACCTGCAAAACAACCAGCTGACACACTTGCCCACCAAAGTGTTTTCTGCTCTAGCCAAGTTGGACGAGCTCCATTTGGACAGAAACCATCTCCAGCATATTCATCCAGCACAGTTTCAAGGCTTAGTGAATTTACGTGAACTCGATATTAAATTTAATCAACTGCGCTCATTGGAAAATGGGACTCTGATGCCTTTAGGAAACCGAACACTTATCCATCTTGACGGGAATCCATGGGATTGCTCTTGTGTGTCCATTCTGTATCTAAGTAAGTGGTTTAACAATAATACTCAGTTGGTAAAACCTACACCCATGTGCTCTTCTGGCCAGAATCTCTCCTACCCAGCTCTTTTCCCATCATCGTTATCAAAGCATTGCACAAGTTCAGCCTGTTTCTCTTTAAATATGGAGAAACTGATGGCTCTCCTTTTTTTCTTTCAGGGTTTGCTTTTCTTATGAAATTGCTGTGCTATGCTAAACGACCATATGTGTGGTTAAAGTGTTGAGAAAAGAAACCACCACAGCTTGTGTGCAAAGGATTAATGCTTTTAACATATCTGAAATGCAAATGTTCATCAGAGAACATGACTATATTCCATAAAACACTGAAAATGTTATGTATCGGAGATTTAATGTTTTACATTATTATTCCATAAAATAAACTGCTATGCTGAATACTTGCAGCCTATTCTCAGAGTGTGTGACAAGACAAAGCGTTTAAAGAGGCCACATGCTGATGCTGCAAGAGGGGATTTCCATTTACTCATTTCAGAACCCAGATAATCATATTCTTATGCACTCACTCATCTGGGTGTTTTTAAGAACTACATCTCAAGGCAAAGATGTACAACCGGCTGTAAACTGTGGTTGTTTGTCTGAAAAACTAGGTTGGATCAGATTTGTCTGCATAAATTTTTTTCTGTTTCTTCATTTTATTGGCCCAGGCTTGTCAATAAAAATTGTTCTAATGATGACAAGAAACTTACAACTAGGATATGAACTCATATTTATGGATCCATTAGATTATTTTGTAACTTCTGTACATCTGACAAATGTTTTGTCTGTTTAGACTACCCCTTTTTCATAATAAAAATCACTGTAGTTTAAGAAACAGAAATAATGTTCAAGTTACAAGTAATAATGTAACTTAGGTAGAGGCTGGCTATAATGGAAGATGAAGTCTATTCAGGAAGGGTGGAAGATAATGAAATCCATTGAAACATCTATATCTAAATTATATTTGACTATTGTTTTGTTTTTAAGTTTCTCAGTGTGGAAAAAAAATTGATTGGAATAATTAAACATCTAGGAAATTAATATAGAGAAAGTCAGAATATCCACTACCAATAATATTTTGACTTTTGTGTGACCAAGTCAGTTTTATTAATACATTACTGCCTTGACTAATATTCAAGCATCTAAATTCAAAATTAAGATGGGTCAAACACAGCACTGTTGTTGTTACAATCCATGCAACCAACTATAACCAAGACACATGATATTGTAGACTATATTTTATTATGTAAATAAATCAATTTAATAAATTAAAATATAGCACTATATGCATGTTGCTCACATCCTTAAGCTTGTTCTTAGATTGAATTTGAAAAAAAGAAAAAGAAAAGAAACACCGTTTCTGTAATTGGATGTTCTGATTAGATCAGAACAAGATCACAATCTTATCACAGTTATTTTTCACATTGGTTTTTGAGACTATTTTATGTTATGGAGAAGCAAAGCCAATCTAATTTCCATGTTTAAAAAATATAGTCCTACAAGGTAACAAAGATTAAAGAAAGCGTTTTAAAATTTTTTTTAAATGTAAAACAAAAATGTAAAAAACATTACCCACCTTTATAAGCATAGACGAAAAAAGACTAGATCACTAGATAATCTGATGACTGATTTATTTGTTGATTTATAACAAAGAGCTTTACAGTTTATTTCACATTAATTTGAAGATTAATTCTACATTAAACAGAATTTGAGGGAAATAGTGTACTGAAATATTTATCAAGCTGACAAACTGAAGACAAATTAACAAAGCACACAGATCCCTGTTAAAACACAAATAATCCTGTTAGTTAGTTTACCCAAAAATATCAATTCTGTCATCGATTACACACCCTCATGTTGTTCCAAACCTGTATGATTTTTGATCTTTCTGTGGAACACAAAATAAGTTATTTTGAGAAATGTTTTTTATTTGTTAATTGGGGTCCAAAGGGGGGTGTTTGAAAAAAAGAGAAAGAAAAAAAGAAAGAAAGCTATATCAAGAGTAAACAAGGACAAAATGTTCATTTTTGAGTGAATGATCCATTTAAATCTATATACATTTATGGCACCTCAAATTTCTTAGATAAGCAAAACTCTTCCCACACTTGTCACACATGTATTGCTTTTCCCCAGTGTGAATGTGCATGTGAGCTTTGAGCGAATTTGACTGGTTAAATTCCCGCCCGCACGTGGCACATCTGAACGGCTTTTCTCCGGTGTGTATGCGCTGATGTCGACGGAGATTTCCCAATGTGCAAAAACCTTTTCCACACACGTCGCAATTAAAAGGTCTTTCGCCGGTATGCAAGGTCAGGTGAGCTTTTAGGCAATTATGCTGCCGAAATGTCTTCCCGCACACGGAGCAGCTATAGGGCTTCTCTCCCGTATGAATCCTCTCATGAGTTTTCACGCCAGCAACACTCTTAAAGGACTTTCCACACACACAACAGCTGTATTTGGTAGCGACGGTGTGTTGATGGTGATGGTGAGATTTCAAGGAGTTAATAGAGTCGAGGGTCTCTTCACACACGTTACAGACGACCGGAAACTGTCCCGCATGAATAGTGAGATGCGTTTTTAAGGCGTTTGTGCAACCCAAAACCACCCCACATACAACGCAGCCATGTCCGGTTTGTCCCGTTTGCTGTCCCTCATGAAGCCGGAGCATCCACTTCTGGACAAAGCCCTGACCGCACAATTTGCATTTGTGCGGTTTCTCGCCGGTGTGAGTTAGTTTGTGCGCCTTTAGCGAATCGAGCTGATTGAAACTTCGCCCGCACGTCTGGCAGGTGAACGGCTTCTCGCCTGTATGGATTCTCTGGTGCCGAAGTAGATTGTTTCGAAAGTGGAAGTTCTTCTCACATACGTCACATTTATGCAGCTTCTCTCCCGAATGCACGACCAGATGCTTCCTGAGACAGTAAGCTTGATGAAAAGACTTCCCACAAACTTTACACATAAAAGTCTTGTCTTCGTTATGAATCCTCTGGTGATACATCAGCTGTTTATGTTCGGTGAAGGTCTTGCCACAATGACTGCAAGCATAAGGGCTCTTGTCAGTATGAAGCTGGTAGTGTACATCCAAATTGCCTTTACTGCCAAAACGCCTTCCACACTGCGAGCAGCTGAAGGTTTTCTCTCCCGCCGCATGAATGACCCGATGAGCTCTCAACAGAACGAGTGAGTCAAATTTCCTTCTACAGTGTTTACAGCTGAACGATTTGTCTTTCTTACGACATCTCAGCCGAGCACGTCTGCTTTGTAAGATGCTCAAAGCTCTGGCTTCTTCCTCATCATCACTGTCCTGCAACACCACAAACAGAGAATGGTTGCTATTTTCTGAACAATCTGCTGACTTCTCATCCTTAATGATCACGGTCTTCTGTTTTTTTAATGGGCTTTTCAAAACAGAAAAACAAAAACATGAATGAAATGTATTATTGCGGTATACACTACCGTTCAAAAGTTTGGTAAAACATTTATGTTTTGTAAGATTTTGATTTTCAAAATTTAAATTATTCCTGTAATGGCAAAGCTGAATTATTGGCAGCCATTATTCCAGTCTTCAGTGTCACATAATCCTTCAGAAATTATTCTAATATGCTGATTTGGTGCTTAAAAAACATTTCTTATTATTATCAATGTGGAAAATAGCTTAATATTTTTGTGGAAACCGTGATACAATTTTTCAGGTTTCTTTGATGAAAAGAAAGTTAAAAAGAACAGCATTTATTTGAAATAGAAATCTCAATAGTATCACTTTTGATCAATTTAAACGGGTCATTAACTGAGAAATAAAATTTTCCTTGAGGTTTTGACATATAAGAGGTCATTATATTACAAGAATACCCTGAAAGTTTCAGAACTGAAAACTTCCTTGTTAGTCCAAAATCAGCTTTTATTGTTACCAGGCCCAGCGAACGACTCGTCCTGGAATGTGCCTCTTTATGATGTAATAAGGTTGTGAAAGTCCGCCTCTGCAGAAGAAAATCAACTTAGGCCCCGCCCACTGGCGTTAGTGAGATGAGGAAGAGAGAAGTGCACAGGGTCACTCACTGGACTAAAAATAACATAACCTCCAAAGGATCCTAATGCTAGGAAAGTGGATATTTATTTTCAACATTGTGAATGTCTCAGTTGAACATTATTCTCTTATTATCTTTGGTAAATCAGTCCACAAACTCCGCGCAGGTTTTGCAGACTTTTACGATCTGGACTTGACAGTATTGCCACAACATGTAATTAACCATGTTCATTCTAATGCCTGATGAACATTTCTGATGTTCTTTGTCCTGTCAATAAATCAAACCAGTGACTAAAAGGTCAACTTCACATTGTTTCTCATAGTAGTAGGGTGTAAATAATCTGTTATTTAAACTGATTGAATTATATCTAGAAAGCGATCAAAGAATTCCGCTCCGCTTACAATAGCTGTAGCTGTCAATCAAACAGCGCGCGCTGGAGCTGTCAATCAAACAGCACGTGTTTATAAGTGACTGAGTTCTGGACTCACGCCAAAAATTCCGTAATAATCAACGATTATTTTAACGACATTATAAGTGCACCCCAGGAAACTTTATGAAACAATAAAACAATGCAGTTCATGACCCCTTTAATATATCATTGTTTAATAAAAGTATAATAATTTCTTTAAAAAAAATGTATAAAGAGATTTTTTACTTTCAGAACCCAACGGTTGTGATCTATTATGTGTGAATAACTTACTGTTCTCACATGCTCAGTGTCTATGATCTCCTCCTCCCAGCTCACAATGATTTTCTCTGTAGAGACTGCAGTGGCACAAAGGATCATAAATCTATAAGATTTGCTCTGAGAAGCATAGTGGTGTGAATGCAGCATAAGTAATGAATCTCACCTAGAGTAAGCTGGTCACTGGACTGACTACTGAGGAGAGCACTGTCGGTTAGATTAGTCTCTCCCTGTAGAGTCTTCTGCCGTTTCTCAACTTGCTTTAGTGTTGTTTTCAAGCTGTCCTCTGCACTCTGAGTCGTTTCAAGATTCTGAAGTGCAGAGAAAAGCTGGCATATTTTCTCCACAGCTTCCTTTGCGTTATGTTCTAACACAAAGTTCAGATGGGTCTAAAATATAGAAACAAATAAATTATAAACTAGCCTAAATTAAGCTGTCATTCATTAAGGGAGCAAAAATATTTGCTGGATTTTTTTCTTCTTCATACAACATGGATAACAGGTTTGAATGGTTAAGATGAGATCAATCAAGAAGAATTAAGAATGCAATCAAGACTACAATTGGTGAACAAACTGAGAATCTGGAAAGAGATTATTTATTCTAAATTGTGTTACTATGGTGCCACAATATCAACGACTGGACATTTTATCATTTTTTCTGACCAATTTATCTGTGACACCTTTGATTTATTGCCATATCTAATTAAATCATGCAGGTTGTGATATATGGTTTAAAAACAAACGTAGCAACTAGTAAGCAAACATTCAGTTATTTCGCAAACTTTTTGCTCACTTACTGTAAAGTCCAGCGTGACAGACTCGTTTGCTGTAGTTTCTGTCAGTGGAGGTAACGTTATTCCTGATAAGTCCACGAATGTAGTCATTTCTTTTACCGTGTCCTTTACAAGCGTCTCCAAAACAGAGACAACCTCAGACTCCAACAACGACATTTTCTCCTGCTGTTGTTTTGGTGACAGATATTATAATTTCAATAAGGCCACTAGAATCTTCGTTTCCTGTTCTCTTCTCTTGTATTAAACAGCGTTGCGGTTGTGCTCACTGCTGCCACTCATTGGACTGGAGTTTACTTGCAGCACTGCGAAAATTCATTTCAATTGTGTGTGTGTGTGTGTGTGTGTGTGTATGTGAATGTATACACACAATACATATATGTATAATATGTGAATATAATAATATATACACACATTAAATAAACAACCTTTTATGTTAGATGTGATTAATCATGATTAATCGAATCCGTTCCCCCACTCCCATTATGAGAGGTGTTGATGTAGTGGGTTAAAAAAAGGCTGATTCAATTTTTTGTGTGGATGGAGCTTAACTGCCGTATGTTTAAAGAATAATTTTTGCCTTTTATTATGATAGGACAGTATGGGATCAAGAAAATTCCACGAGTCAGGACTTGAACTCGGGTCGCCCAAAGCCCAACAGTGCTAAATGTCAGTGCACTGACCATTTGGCTATCAGGGACAATTAACTAACAAGAGTTTGATGAATATTTGAACCTCTTTGTGTAAGCAACATGGGGGGAACAGAATCTGACGGCAAACAAACCCGCTGTCAGAATCCTTTCCCCCACTATGAGAGATGTTGATGTGGTGGCTTAAAAAAAGTCTGATTACATTTTTTGTGTGGATGGAGCTTAACTGCCATCAATTTAAAGAATCATTTTGGGAGATTTTTCCTTTTATTATGATAGGACAGTATGGGATCAAGAAAATTCCACGAGTCAGGACTTGAACTCGGGTCGCCCAAAGCCCAACAGTGCTAAATGTCAGTGCACTGACCACTTGGCTATCAGGGACAATTAAACAACAACAGTTTGATGAGTATTTGAACCTCACAAATAAATGTGACGACACCAACACCGACAAAAAACGTGAATTTGACATGGTTACATGAGACTCACCAACAGCGGTTACACAAACAAGACAAGATACAATGGAAACAATAAGGGCTATTTATAGACCAAGACTAAAGACTAACAAGAAACACATGTGAACAATCAAGACGATCAACCAATAAGAATATGGTGGGCGATATGGCAAAAATATAATATCACGATTTTATCATGATTCTTTTGCATGTAGGTTTTAATATTTTGCAAGTGACTGAGTATTCCAGCCAAACTAATAAAAACAAAGCCTTACAAGGTAACAACAAATAAAAAAAGATTGGCAGACATTCAGGCCAAAGTGGTGAAGATAAAAAGATAAAAGATAAGAACAAAGATACACATTACATATTTACAACATACAAATGAAATCAACAGTGCTTTATTTTTCAGCTACAGTAGGTGTATTTAAACGATTCAAGAAAGAAATAAAATTAACAAAATAAAACACTACATACTTCACTGTATAAATTATACATTGATACTTATGAAAGCTAGCTACTATTAAAATTCTCAGACCAGTGAGTGATTTTCTTTGTTTTTTTGTTGTTTTATTAACATTAAAGGGATAGTTCCCCCAAAAATGAAAATAATTATATTATAATTTAATTTACTCTCTCAAGTTGGTTTAAACCCACATAAGTTTCCCAGTGGCATCCATAGCCTATATATTTTCCTACTATGGAAGTCAATGGGGACCAGCAACTGTTTGGTTAGCCACATTCTTTAAAATATCTTATTTTGTGTTCAGCACAAGAAAGAAATTACAGGTTTGGAACAACATTAGAGTGAGAAAAGTTAGGACAGAATTAAACATTTTGGGGAAACTAAGTAACTGACAAGCGGCAGCCTGTTTACTGTTTGGCTACTGAGTAAGCATTTTAATATATAGCCTATGACACGCACCCGATTTTCGCTCAAATCTTTGCCTTCACTTTAGACATAACCAACTGTGTTTATGTAAAACTTGTGTGTTTTTGACAGTATTAACCCAATAAGACTCGAAAGATAACTTAGTCCAGTAAACAGGGCAGGCGCTGTTTGACAGGCTTTAAAGGGATAGTTCACTTTGAAATTAATTTTTGGTATGTTTTAGCTTACCTTAAGGGCATCCAAGATGTAGGTGTCTTTGTTTCCGCAGTAGTTTCAATTTTGATATTTTTAGGTCAAACCGTTCTTGTCTGTCAGTCATATAATGCAGGTCTATGGTCACCACCTCAAAGAGCATGCACAGAGAAGTCCAAATTAAACATGACTTAATGACTCGTAAATGTTAGTACACATTGATGGCCTGAGACACGAAACGAGCGGTTTGTGTGAGAAAACAAACAGTATTTATATTGTTTTTACCTCTTGTAACGCACAGCCACGTCTGTGATCTGTGATCTGAGGGCGCGGGCGCTTCGGTCTGTGCGTTACAAGAGGTAAAAACGATATAAATACTGTTCGTTTTATCACACAAACTGCTCGTTTCGTGTCTCAGGCCATCAATGTGTTTGTGTACTTACATTTACGAGTCATTAAATCATGTTTAATTTGGACTTCTCTGTGCATGCTCTTTGAGGTGGTGACCATAGACCTGCATTATATGACTGACAGACAAGAACGGTTTGACCTAAAAATATCAAAATTGAAACTACTGCGGAAACAAAGACACCTACATCTTGGATGCCCTTAAGGTAAGCTAAAACATACCAAAAATTAATTTCAAAGTGAACTATCCTTCAAGTGCATGGGCTTTGGGTCGGGTGTATGCGCTCAGAAAAGCCCACGTTAGAACAGAACGGCGCATCAGCAGACGAATTAAATGTTTAACCGGCAAGGCTTTAAAGCACATGCAAATAATGAACTTTTGTGAATTGCAGTATCCCGTGTGTGTAACTTGACCTCTGCGTTAACATGTGATGTGACAGATAGGCCCTGTCCCAAATGGCGCACTTCATGTGGACTTTCGGTCTCGTGGACTTAAATTGCGCGTGCTTGCCGAGTCTACGAGTCCGTAGGCCGTCCCATTTAGCATTTTAACGCTGTGAAGTGTGCTCAGCAGCGCCCCCTTTGTACCCTTGAAGCGGTCTTCCGCGAAGCCCGCATAGATGCAGGCTCCACGCACTTTAACTACCCAGGAATCCTTGCGAAAGGCCAATCAGACAACGGATGGGAGGAGATTTCGCTCACGGATAATTGTTAACATCGCTGAGAAGAAAATATTTAAGTGTAATTATCATTACAGTTTTTATGACAAGTTTATACAAACATTATGATCATCGACCAGTGGTTGATGTCTCAAACATAGGCTAATAATAACGAGCTGAATAATACGATCGCATTATGATTCATTAAATAAATAGAACAGAATGTCAGGGCTTTACTGAGTCATATGTAAACACAACAACAATAGGCAGCATATTTCCCCGAACATGTAGCTCCTGTCCATAACAACAATCAGACCGTCTTCCTGTTTCCGGCGTGAAGATCGAGTCTGTCCCAAAAATACCTCTCAATGCGCCCTCGCGCTAAGGGCCCTATAGGTCTGCACTACATAACGTCACCGAAGTGTGGACTCTGAGGAAGTCCACAAGTCCGGAGTGTGCCATTTGGGACAGGGCCTATGTTGGGACGGACGCGCCAGAACTGGAAAGATACTACAATATTTTTTTCAAAAGCAGATCGTGGAGACATTTTAATAGTCCATGATCAAAAATCGTGATATTGCACACCCCTACCACTATGTCAGAATATATAGATGATAAAACGGACCTAAAATTACAAGGAAAAACCTTTTATTTTTTGATAAATAAATACAGTCAAGCATTTCTTGTAATTTCCACAAAATTATTTATAATCCTACATAGAATCCAGGGACCTGTAGGTAGACATTACTCAATTTAGTCATTTCAGGTCAGAAAGCTGAAATCATTTAAAGTGGAGCGCATTTGTGATCTTTGAAATTTCTCTGATAGGCGAAACTTTTCCAACACTTGGTGCATGTGTACGGCTTGTTGCCAGTGTGAACGTGCATGTGTGCCTTCAAATTGTTGGGCTGTGTGAAACTCTTCAAACAAATTTCACAGGTAAACGGCTTTTCCCCGGTGTGCACAAGCCTGTGTCTTTTCAAATTGGCCGATAAATGAAACGCCTTCCCACATGTTTCACACTTGTGAGGTTTTTCACCGGTATGAGTGCGCATGTGCATCTTCAGAGAGCTTGACAGCTTGAATCTCTTCCCACACAATACGCATTTGTGAGGTCTTTCTCCTGAATGCAGAAACATATGAGTTTTATATGAAGCCCTCAGAGAAAAATCCTTACCGCAGATCTCGCACTTGAAAGGTTTCTCCCCCGTGTGAAGCTGCTGGTGCATCCGGAGGGAATGTACGCTGCTGTACTTCCTGTCACATAACGTGCACGTAAACGGTTTGCTGTTGTCCGAATGCAGCAGCAGGTGAGTTTTCAATGCGTAGGCGGAGCTCAGGAACTTCCCACACACGTCGCAGCGATGAGCGTTGCTCTTATCTCCCGGATTTCCAATTTGATTGTGTGTTAGAATATGGTTCCTTAGGGCATAATTATACTGGAATGTTTTCCCACACATTTCACACATAAATCGCTTCTCTCCATGGACTCGCATGTGGCCTTTGAGAGTGCTTCTCTGATTGAATCTTCTGCCGCACACCTCGCAGACGTACGGCTTGTCGCCGGTGTGAACGAGAATGTGGCGTTTCAGAGTCCCGGAAAGCGCAAAACTTTTCCCGCAGATGTCGCACGTGTGCGGCCTCTCGCCCGTGTGCACACGAAGGTGGTGTTTCAAAAGTTTATGGTACTTGAAGGTCTTATTGCAATGGCTGCACTTTATCGGCCTGTCACTGGAATGAATTCTCTTGTGGTAGTTTAACGTGCCAATCAGGGAGAAACACTTCCCACAGGTGTCGCATCTGTATGGTTTTTCGCCCGTGTGCACCCTTTGGTGCATGTATAAACTTCTTTTGATTGTGAATCCCTGTCCGCATATTTCACAGGTAAATGGTTTGACTTCCGCATGGACCAGTTCATGCGCTGCGAGATCCCTGAAGCTCTTTCCGCACGTACTGCAGGGGAATTTCTTCTTCTCGAACTTCTGCAAGTGTTTGCGAAGGTGAGTCTCTAGCGCTCTCAGCAGTGTGAACTTCTTCCCACACTTTTCACAATTGTGCGGCCTCACAATTGAATGCACACGTTTGTGCTGCACAAGAGAAAGCATCTTTGGAAAGACCTTTCCGCACTGCTCACATACAAAAGAATCTTTGTCCTGTGGCTTTTCAGGTTGCACGGTTGATGTCTGCAACACGCCTTCCTGATCTTCAGACCAGCCCACATCATCAGCAGCTGGCAAAATGAAAAACAACATTACATCAACATCAATCATAGTCTATTCATATATTCACAGTTTAGCAAAAAATAAAATCACAGTGAAGCAAAATTTATTTTTTATTTTTATTTTTTTTATTACGACAACAAAAAACATAAAGGTCTCATACATAGACAATAACATGTAAACATGAAAATAACATACATAAGCGTGTGTGTGTGTGTGTGTGTGTGCATGTATTACTGGGTGTGCAAGTGGAAATAACTTAACAGAAGAAAATCTTACAGATACAACAGACATGATAAAAATTAACTAAATAGTAATAATAGTAATAATAATAATAAAAATAATAAAATTTAAAAAAAAAAAAAAATAAAAAAAAAAAAAATGAAAAAGAATTAAGGCTAATATGATAAAAAAAAAAAAAGATGTCTCTGAAATTTCTTCAACTTATTTTATTTCAGTTACTTGCCATTCAATCTAATATTTCTAATATTTACATCTTGATTTCAGCTTGTATTTTTCAGCTTTATTTTAATTAACAAAATACATTCTTAAAAGTTTTAGTTAAAGGTAGAGTAGGCAATTTCAGAGAGGCTAGTAATAGCAAGCTAGCTTTGAGATCCCATAAGATCCCACCCTCCCTTCAGAGCGTCTCGAAAGCCACTGCTGTTTTTCTTGCGCAGCTCTGTGACTGTCTGTCTACAACTCTGTATAGCCTTACAAAACGTGTTGACGACATGTGACAGGTATGCGAAAGTATGGAAATACATATGCTGACAGGCAGGTAGGACATCCTATCATAGCATTCGGACTGAATGCAATGATTGGACAAAATGTTTTGTTCCTGAGACTTCCACAGAAGATATATGTACATGTGTTAATATTTAGACCACTTCTATTATTGATTGCTATCAGGATTGCTGTGCTGTATGTATTTATTTGTACCTGGGGACTGCAGATGTAAATTAGCCTAAGGCTAACTCTGGTGTAATGCATCAAATGTTTACATTTATGTTAGGGGTGCTCCGATCAGGATTTTTGGGGCCGATCACCGATCGCCGATTACTGGAAGCTGTATCACCCGATACCGATACCGATCACCGATTACAGGGTCTATTTGAAGACTTCTTTTTATCATGTAGCATTACTTATTAAACTATATTTAACAACATGTACAATTAAGTATTACATTTAAGAGAAGACAATGCATAATGAATTGACACTTGTGTATTTATTTGCAAGCAACATGTATTAACATAGCAGCTTGGTTATTGGGAGCAGCTTAGGGCTTGACATACAACTTTCCTGTAGAATATAAAATAAAATGAATAAAAGACAGAACATCTGATTCTTTAAATTTAGCTTTAGACTACTTTAAACATTATTTTGACTATAGCCTTTTTTTGTTGCTGTTTTTAGTTTAGAGTCAGTCAGCCATCAGTTTTTCTAATACACTTAAAGGACCACAGGTAGTAAAGTGCACAGCAACAAAAAAAAATAAAAAAATAAAAAATAAAAATAACTTCCATATCTGTATCTATAACTTTGCTTTTTTCTGGGATGCTTCGTCAGATTTTGTGGGCATTTAGAGAGGAAGAGAGAGGTAGACAAACCTTTTTGTGTGTGTGTGTGTGTGTGTGTGTGTGTGTGTGTGTGTGAAGAACCCTTGCAAAATTATTTTAAACAGATTAAGAAAGCCACCACTACTGGTCATATCTATGTTTAGATTGATTTTTTTAGATCCAGTGAAGTCTGTCCCACCATGTACCTAATATAAATAAATAAAACATCTTCAGTTAACTAGCAGATCATTCATTTAGTTCGCTATTAAATAAGAAATCTAGCGCTAAAATGTTTTTGAACTCAAGCTGCGCGCTCGTTGCCGCGGCGATCAGTTGCATGGATACAGTGCTCTGTGCCTCGCGCAGGCTTCACTCGGATGCGCGCTTCAATCTATCGCCATTGCGGACTCTGTCTATTCATTCCGGTGTAATCACAAAATAAAACACAAACGTATCCTTGCTTGATATAACTGTAACCGCTGATGAACATATTCAGTTTTGATGAGAGAAAATATGTACGAGTGATTTGACGGACGCACGGGGGTTGGATACATTTTTGTCATTGGTTGTTGCGTTAAATCTTACCCAGATACAATAGTGCTATTTTCTGATTGGCTATTGTGTAGCTCGACGAACAACACCAGAGGAAACGCGCTTGATTCATGCCGGTTCCACAGTGAGAGCGGCGCGGCCAGAGTTTTGGCCGCTGCGGCATATTAAATATATTACAAATAGTTTTTCAGCGTGAGAAATACAATGTGTGGCGGGAGAGCGTGACAAAAGACCGAAATGAGTGACTGTCACGCTCAATGCTTGACACTTGAGAGCCCTGTTGTAGAATAGAATTGCCAGACCGGTGAAGCTATTTTTACCAGTAAAAAAATTGTCTCGCGAGTTTTGCGTCATCTGATCGGCTTTTCTGGATCGGCCTTTATAGAGACCGCCGATCACACATCCCAAAGCAATTATCGGCCGATTATGATCGGCGACCGATCAATCGGAGCACCCTTAATTTATGTTATTAATTGCACATGGTCCCTTTTAAATAAAAAATCAAATCAATCAATGTGAAGAGAGTATCAAACTCATTAAAAACGCATTAAAAAAATTGCCTACCCTACCTTTAACAATAACAACACTGACATGCATACACTAATAATCAATGTAAGTGGTGGGTGATGTAAAACAGCAGCAGTAATGATTTAGATGTTCTTGACACAATGAATGATTGCAAATAGTAAAGAGGCTGAGTAATAAGTGAAGGTTGGGACTCTTACCGTCACTGATGAATATTGTCTGAATGGCTTCTTCTGCTCTTTCCGCCACCATAAGACACTGGCTTGCATTACCGTCCTGTTCATGTTATAATTCACATTACATGTAAATGTTTAAATCAACATTTAACACCCTGTAAGTTATTTCCTTAAAATAAATTTCTCTTTAAAACTGCACAGTATTATTATTCACCTCAATGCTTGAAGGTTGCTGGTGAGACGTTGCTGCCAACTCATTCAGAGGACTCATTGAGAAAGGTATAGCATCTCCTGTAAGAGAGGAACACAAAACAAAAATGACCACAAATACTAAAGATAGAGTGCTACATCTGCAAGTCTCTAGAGTGGCCTGATATTGAAATCAAGTACCCTGAAACTCCTGGTTTAGGATACATGTTGTTCCACTGAGGTCACTACCCATCTGAGATGAAGGCTTCCTTATGTCATCTCGGCCATTCAAACACATTTGTGCTGGAACTGGTGCAACAGATGAACAGTATCTGAAGAGACTGCAAATCTTCTGCACTGCTTCTTTGGCAAACCTCTCCATTATGGAATTAAGCTGTATTGAAATGAGAAAAATACAATAATTATAAATATAAAACCTTTGAAATTATACGTAAATTGTAAATACAACAAAGGAAAATGGAGTTTTCATAGTCAACAAAAAAAAAGCATTATGATACAACAATTTAAAATGTAATATTATAGAAACAGCAAATATCTAATATAACTAAATATAGGTTTATGAGCTTTAGAGGAGACATGCTAAGAATAAAGAGTCAGTCATAAACCTTAGTATGGCCAATTTCATGTTTAAAACACAATAGACAATAGAAAATCCTGTATGAATAAGTTAATTACCCAGGCTGTAAACAAAAGGAGGATTCTTTCACTATTTTAATAAACAATCAATTAAAACCATACACGGTTAAAGTTCTAATAACAGACTTTCATACCATATTAATCTGAGTATCGTTTGATTTGATGGTGAGATGAGATTCATCGTAGCTGCATGTAAAAGTCTTTCGTATCTCCAGCTTAGCAGTGTCCGTCAGTAATGACATAACCAGAGTGGTTTGACTCTGAAAAAGCTCATACCGGGCCATAGTGACCACAGTTAAGAGACGTGCAGTAAATCCAACTCAGTTTGTGTTTGACAGCTTGCCAGAATCATTCATAAAATCCTGAACTCCCTAGAAAAGTTGCACTGGGCAATAAAGTACTTCCTCTTTGTTTTAAAATAAAAGTTCCCGAATGCTTGCCATTCGCCATAAAATTTGGTTATGATTAACAAACAAAACACAAGGCTTATAAACTTGATCCTAAAAATAAGACCCATTATTGACCTCAGTCAATACAAAATATATCTCAGAATAATATACTTCAGAAAGAGGTAAGACATTTTTCGAAATAAAAGTCTCTGAACGCCATTCAAAGGATGCATGCTCCAACTTAGCTAATTACAAAATAAAATAAAATCCTAATTAAATTTTTCTTTAAATATTTTGTGTTGGTTTAATAACAAGTGTTCCCTCAGATATCATTTTTAATAACAAAGAGCAATGAACACTTTTGACCATTACCTTTTCTGTAATTTGTGATGACTGGATAATGATTTTTAAAAATACTTATATCAGATTCGTAGAGGAATCATTCCTATTTTTTTCAATATTCATTGAAAAGCATAAATCTATAACATTATTCGCAAGCATCTTCACAAGACCAGTGATGAAATCATTAATATCAGAGCTTACTTGAAACATTTAGATTCATTTAAAAATGTTTATAGCGTTTAAGATTTTATTATTTTCAGCGACTTTCACAGACTTGGAAGTTGGAACACACAATTTCCTCAATTTAAAATTTCCAAGTTTTTCATATGCCAACATTTACATAATTATTATTACTCTGTGAAGGTACCCTGATATTATGCATAAAATCACTTGATATAGGTACATATGATTGAAAATGTAACATAAAAATTGACAACAGATTGTTCAGCATGTTTTAATTTAATGTTTTCACAATGGAAACATTTGGCTAGGAAAATTACAACATTTCCACCACATCTTTTTCACACAGGTTTGCATTTGTGATCATTGAAATGTATATACATAATTCTTCCCACACTTCTGGCATGTGTAGGGTTTCACTCCAGTATGAATTTGCATATGTGCTTTAACATGGTCGGGTTCTCCCCACAAACCTTACAACTGAACGTCTTCTCCGCAGTATGGACGCGCTTGTGGCGCTTTAAATTTCCATATAATCGAAAGGTCTTTCCACAAGTCTCACATTTGTGAGTTTTTTCATCTGTATGAGTCTTCATATGCATTTTCAAAGAGCCAGACCACTTGAACGCTTTCCTGCACACTATGCATTTGTAAGGTCTTTCTCCTGAATGGCACAACATATGCGTTTTAAAGGACTTCCTGAGTGCGTAGGCCTAACTGCAGATCTCACAAATGAACGGGGTCTCCCCCGAGTGAAGTTTCTCATGCATGCGAAGATAATAAACGTTGCTGTAGCGCTTCTCACACAATTTGCATCTAAACGGTTTGCTGTTGTCTGAATTTGGCTGCATTTTAAATGCAGAGTTGAAGTTCGGAAACTGGCCATTGCTCTTATCTCCTGAATTTCCAGTCTGATTGTGAGTTAGCATATGGTTCTGTAGCAAAAAATCATGCTGGAATGTTTTCCCACACACTTCACACTTAAATTGCATCTCTTCATGCACCCGCATGCCATATGGACTTTCAAATTGCTTCTCTGGCGAAATCTTTTACCACACACCTCACAGATGTACGGCTTTTCACCAGTGTGAATTAAGACGTGGCGTGTCATAGCTTCATGATGGGCAAATAATTGACCACAGATTTTACACGTATATCGCCTCTCACCGGTGTGCACAGGAAGGTGGCGTCTCAAATGGCTCTTGCACTTGAAGCTCTTGTTGCAATGACTGCATTTTATTGGCCTGTCGTCTGAATGAAACTTCTTGTGGCAGTTTAGGGTGCCTATCAGAGAGAAACTTTTCCCACAGGTATCACACGTGTATGGTTTTTCACCCGTGTGCACCCTCTGGTGCATGTATAAACTTCCTTTGACTGTAAATCCCTGTCCGCATATTTCACAGGTAAATGGTTTGACTTCCGCATGAACCCGTTCGTGCGCTGCGAGATCCTTGAAGCTCTTTCCGCACGTACTGCAGGGGAATTTCTTCTTCTCAAACTTCTGTGTATGTTTGCGGAGATGAGTTTTTAGCGCTCTTAATTGTGTGAACTTCTTCCCGCATTTTTCACAACAGTGCTGCTTTTTGACTGAATGCACACGTTTGTGTCGCAGAAGAGAGAACATCTTTGGAAAGGCATTTCCGCACTGCTCACATGCAAAAGACTCTTCGTCCTGTGGCTTTTCAGGTTGCTCGGTTGATGTCTGCAACACGCCTTCCTGATCTTCAGACCAGCCCACATCATCAGCTGATGAAAAAAAATAACAACACAATAATACAAAATTAGTGCTGAACATATATGTCATTATGACAGAAGTGCTTTAAACACCCCATGAAATGCCTTGACAAGACATTTCTTTCTTTTGATAACATGTTTCCTATTGAAAAAAGTAAGTTAGGGACATTTCAAAGGGCTTTTTTTAAATAGCCAATAGCCTACATCTATATCAGTGGTTCTCAAATTTTTTGACTCAAAGACTCCTGTGTTGTCCAGCACAATATTCAAAAGCTCCCTGATATAGGTCTATTTCCAGTATTTCTGCTGTAATTATGACAAAGCTGCTTGTTTTCAAATGTTTTTTATGAACAGATAGTATGAGTATTGATATATTAACCATTTAAAGCCTGACATTTGAAATAATAGTCAGAAAAATAGTTTGAACCTTTAAAAAAATGCATGTTTTATGCGTTGTATCGTTGTATACATCAGGCTTTTATGGATGTATTTAAAAAAAAAAAAATCACCTCAGTTTTATTCAGAGACCCAAACTGAGTAAAAAACATGCAATTTGGTGTAGTTGTTGATATTTATATGGGCAAAAAATAAGATGAAATTTTGACAGCTAAATCAATAAGATCTATATCAGCATAGCAGACTGCATTCATAAAATGCATTTAAATATCAGTTGTCACTCTACACTCACCGGCCACTTTATTAGGTACACCTGTCCAACTGCTCGTTAACACTTAATTTCTAAGCAGCCAATCACATGGCGGCAACTCAGTGCATTTAGGCATGTAGACATGGTCAAGACAATCTCCTGCAGTTCAAACCGAGCATCAGTATGGGGAAGAAAGGTGATTTGAGTGACTTTGAACGTGGCATGATTGTTGGTGCCAGAAGGGCTGGTCTGAGTATTTCAGAAACTGCTAATCTACTGGGATTTTCACGCACAACCATCTCTAGGGTTTACAGAGAATGGTCCGAAAAAGAAAAAACATCCAGTGAGCGGCAGTTCTGTGGGCGGAAATGCCTTGTTGATGCCAGAGGTCAGAGGAGAATGGCCAGACTGGTTCGAGCTGATAGAAGGGCAACAGTGACTGAAATAACCACTCGTTACAACCGAGGTATGCAGCAAAGCATTTGTGAAGCCACAACACGCACAACCTTGAGGCGGATGGGCTACAACAGCAGAAGACTCCACCGGGTACCACTCATCTCCACTACAAATAGGAAAAAGAGGCTACAATTTGCAAGAGCTCACCAAAATTGAACAGTTGAAGACTGGAAAAATGTTGCCTGGTCTGATGAGTCTCGATTTCTGTTGAGACATTCAGATGTTAGAGTCAGAATTTGGCGTAAACAGAATGAGAACATGGAACCATCATGCCTTGTTACCACTGTGCAGGCTGGTGGTGGTGGTGTAATGGTGTGGGGGATGTTTTCCTGGCACACTTTAGGCCCCTTAGTGCCAATTGGGCATCGTTTAAATGCCACGGCCTACCTGAGCATTGTTTCTGACCATGTCCATCCCTTTATGGCCACCATGTACCCATCCTCTGATGGCTACTTCCACCATGTCACAAAGCTCTAATCATTTCAAATTGGTTTCTTGAACATGACAATGAGTTCACTGTACTAAAATGGCCTCCACAGTCACCAGATCTCAACCCAATAGAGCATCTTTGGGATGTGGTGGAACGGGAGATTCGCATCATGGATGTGCAGCCGACAAATCTGCGGCAACTGTGTGATGCCATCATGTCAATATGGACCAAACTCCCTGAGGAATGCTTCCAGCACCTTGTTGAATCTATGCCACGAAGAATTGAGGCAGTTCTGAAGGCAAAAGGGGGTCCAACCCGTTACTAGCATGGGGTACCTAATAAAATGGCCGGTGAGTGTATATCTCCCAATAATATGTCTTAGTAAGATGATATTTAAATGCTTAGTTTTGTAAGCTGTAGTTTTGCTCTGTTGTTTTTATTATGGGGGGCTTAACATATAATCCAATGCAACGATGATTGAGAGATGCACAAATAAATGTTCATCACCAAGCCTGTTGTATCATATTTGTTACTCACATTTTAACATGATTTTTCTTAAAAAATAAATAAAATAAAAAATCTGATTGGACAAAATGAGTAAGTGCAGAACAAGACTCAATGCAGTCATCACAAAGAAATAGCCTTACTATATATACTACCAATAGGACCTGTATATATTAAGGTTTTTATGTAAATGACAAATAATAATGCGAGTATGAGAACTATACATTACCATCACCACTGACTACAGTCTGAATGTCGTCTTCTGCTCTGTCCTCCACCAACAGACATCTGCTTGCATTGCTCTCCTGCGCAGGCTGTAATTCACGTCACATGGAAATGTTTTATACTGTATGACCATTGACCATCACTATGTATCAAGACATATAATAAAAAACATATTGTTGTTTTTGATTCAGCACAGAAAATACATATAAGCTAGCCCTCTACAACTATTCAAACAATTTTACTAACAGAAATTCTTACCATGTGAGTCTGAGTGTCACTCTGTTTCATGTTGAGCTGAGGTTCAGCAGAGCTGCATGTCTTTGGTGTCTCCTGCTTTGGCATGACCAGCATTAATAAGATGAATAGAGTAGTTGACCCTGAAAAAGCTCATACCTGGACATAGTGACCACAATTACGAGATGTGCAAAAATGAGAAAGTGTGTTTGAAATGTGTTTCAAAATAACATTTCTGTAAGACTTAAGAAAAAACGTTCTGCTTTGGCAATCCAATCTGTAAAGTCAGTTTGAATGCATGCAAGCAAATGATCAAGTGCTATCAATAAGTGTTCATAATGTAAAGGCAAACCATTATATTCGTCTGGAATGCAAACTCCCTGCAAAAGTTGCTCTCTCTCTCTCTCTCTCTCTCTCTCTCTGCGCTAAAAACGTCCTCTTTTGTTCATGACCTATCAAAGTAAAAGTATGCGAATACGCGCCATTGACCATACATCTTTTTAATTACATATTAATTAGAGATTAACAGGTCAGCAAATTAAATATGACTGAATATACATAATGCTATACTATTTATAATAGTCAGAGCCCTTTCTGGATCATTAATTAAATTGGTTTGTTTATTGTTTTATGTTAATAATATGGAAAATTAGCTTTGAAATGCAAATGTTGATAACCTTTTTAAGGAAAATGGACTTGACCTACCATCAAATTGTCAGTTCCTGTACTTCCGAGGCAAAGTTTTCAAAATAAAAGTCATTTAACATGAAATACTAAAGAAAGCTGGAGAACTTAGAGAACCCACTCCATTTAATAATTTATCTGTTTGCATAGGAAAAGTCAAACGTGTTGACAACTCACCATTACGGCATTCAACTTTGTACAACAATTTGTGTGCTTTATTTATGGTAAAGATTACTATTAAAGGAATAGTTTACTTCAAAACGAAAATTCTGTCATCATTTACTCACCCTCAAGTTGTTTCAAAACTGTATTAATTTCTTTCCTCTGCTGAACACATAGAAAGATATTTGAAGAATGACGGTAACTAGACAGTTGATGTACCCCACTGACTTTCATAGTAGGAAAAAAAATACCATGGAAGTCAATTGGGTACATCAACTGTTTTGATTACCGACATTCTTCAAATATCTTTCTATGTGTTCAGCAGAGGAAAGAAATTCATACAGGTTTGGAACAACTTGAGGGTGAGTAAATGATTAGTAAATGAAAAAACTTTCATTTTTGGGTGAACTATCCTTTTAAATACCAGTAGTGACGTGTAACATTTGTAAAAATAAAATAAAATTAAAAATAAAATTAAAATAAAAAAACTTTTTAAAATATTATGTATAATGAAAATATGTTATATTACTTTTTACATTTTTCATTTTGAAGTGAACTAATCCTTTAACCACAGGAATGGTTATGTTAGTTTTTCCTACCATAAAGGTTATATAAAAAAACAATAATAAAAAACATTGCATTTCCAACAAATTGTTTATTCTTGGCCATAGAGTACACTGTAATGAGAAATTCGAAATGTAGAACTATTGATTTTGCATATTAATAATTGGCTTAAAAATAATTCGATTTCAGACCCAATTCATTAATGTATCTCTATTGAATGAATGAAAAATTCATTGATACTTATCCAGAATTTCTTCTAAGAAAGAAAATAAAGGTAAAACAAATACACTGTGCTATTGTACATATTTTTGTCTTTAACAGATAGTGAACCTTCATGACATTTCCAAACATTTGACTGAAAGAAAATGTCACTGCAATTCATCTCAAAACAAAATTCCTTTAAAGCAACTTCTTTTTCACACAGGTATACATTTGTGGTCATTGTAATTTCTACGGTATGCGTATTTCTTCCCGCATTTCTGGCACGTGTAGGGTTTCACACCAGTGTGGATTTGCATGTGTGCCTTCACATGGCTAAGTTGTACAAACTTTTTCCCACAAACCTCACAGCTGAACGGCCTCTCGCCTGTGTGGACACGCTTGTGTCGGATTAAGTTTCCAGATAAGCGAAAGCACATTCCGCAAGTTTCGCACTTGTGTGGCTTTTCACCGGAATGAATGCGCATATGCAGTCTAAGACTGTAAGGAAGTCCAAATTTGCTCCCACAAACAGAACATTTGTAGGGTTTAGCTTTGGTATGAACAATCTCGTGCGTTTTCAAACCAATTTTCTGAGTAAAAGTCTTATCACACACAACACACTTGAACGGCGTCACCCCTGAATGAAGTTTCTCATGTTCCTTCAGCGTATACAAGCTGCTGTAGCTTTTACCGCAGACTTTACACATGTACGGATCCTTTTCCGAGTGGAGTCTCTCGTGTATTCTGAGGAAAGCGGTAGAACTGTAGCATTTTCCACATACATCACACGGGAAAGAGTTCTTCCCATCTCCAGATTTCTCACTATGTGTGAGTAAGTGTTTCTGTAAAGCATAGTTAAAAACAAAGCTCTTTCCACATATTTCACACATGAATGACTTCAGAGCTCCGTGTACTGCCATGTGCCTTTTCAGAGATTTGCTCTGATAAAACTGCTTGGAACAGATTTCACACACATGCCGTTTCACACCACTGTGCACAAGGAGATGCCTTCTGAGGTTTGTAATGTGGCCAAACTTCTGCCCGCATAAATGACATATATGGGGTTTCTCCCCTGTATGCACAACCTGGTGCAAATTCATTTGCTTTTCTGTTTTGAATGTCTTGTCGCAGAGGCTGCATTTCCACAGTTTCTCATTTAAATGAACAGTCAGATGGTTGGTGAGGTTTCCCGAGTGTGTAAAGTGCTTCCCGCATGTCTCACAGCTGTATGGTTTTTCACCTGTATGGATCCTCTGGTGTGCCAGTAAACTCCCCTTTACGGTGAAGCCGTGTCCACATATGGAACAAAGAAACGGCTTCACTTCCAGGTGGACACGTTCGTGCATCTTAACATTGGCAAAGGTTTTCCCACATGTTTTACAGAGCCCTTTCTTATTGGCTGAATTGTGATGCAGTAGGTGTCTCTCTAATCCTTTTAAGAATTTAAACTTCTTCCCGCACTGCTCACAACTGTGAGGCCCTTTTAAATGTCCACATTTGTGCTGATTTAGTGAGTTTCTCAAGATAAATTTCTTTCCGCACTCATTACAGTCAAATGATTTTGTCTTCTTGGACTTTGTACTGATTTGCTCTGCCTGCGGGTTTACTTCAGGTTGCTGGTCTTCAACAGAGGCAATGGTACTGTATTCAACTGCAAAACATTAACATGGTTTCAATTACTACAAGTTACAACTACAAGTATGTATATGTATGCGTGTATATCAACATTGATAATAATAAGAAATGTTTCTTATTTTTCTTAGCAAATCAGCATATTAAAATGATTTCTGGAGGATCAAGTGACATTGAAGACTGGAGTTATGATGCTGAAAATTCAGCTTTGCATCACAAGACTAAATTAGATTTTAAAATATATACAAATAGAAAATAGTATCTATACACTGTAATAATAGTTCACAAAATTACTGTTTTTATTGTTTTTTAATCTAAATAAAAGCCTTAATAAACTAATCTAAATAAATTAAATGTATTATAGTTGACATCTAATTTTATTAATAACTAGCTAGTCTCATTTCGATTCATTAGCTAAAAGTAACAGAGAAATAAGAAGAAAAAAAAGAGAGAAAAAAACTATGGATTGGGTAAAAGTGAGGTTTAAGTGACGTGAGTATATATATAATGTCTAAAACAAATCTAATAATTTGAGGTACTTGTGTCAAGCGGTTCAGAATTTGAAATACAGAATATAAAATACGGAAATTGTATTTTGTAATGTTGACGTGGTCCGCTGCCTGAAGAAGTTTGAAAACAACAGGTCTAGAGTCTAGTATTTTATTATTTAGTAATGCCAAACAATAAATATTTTTTGTAAAAAAATAAACCATAAATACCTTAATAAATATTTTAACTAATAATCACTCAATTTCTAAATTTCTTAGCTTGTTATTTTGCATAAATATCAAAGCTGTGCAGCACATACATTCTATAAAAAATGCTTGCACTGGCTTCTCTTTTCCACCACTTGACGACTCAGGAACGTTTCCCTCTGCACACTGAAAGAAAAAGAAAATCAATACAAACGCTGTTGCAAGCATTTTGGCAAACTAATCATCAGAGTTACATCATTTCAACATTGAACTGACCTGCTGGCCTTTAACCGAATCTTGTGGCTGTACATTTTCTTCAGGTAACACAGTGAGTATATTCGGTCTCTCCGTCGACACAGATGGAGCTACAGCTGCAGAATCTGAGATGAGGGTGAGACATTACTAGTTAAAATTGTAGTGTATTAAATATTCTTAACAAATGACATTAAATTAAAATGCAGGACGTCTTACCAGGCACATTTTTGACAGTTTGATTGTCTTTTCTTTCTGGTTTATTCAGATGCTCCTTCACCATCTCTTTCACATTTACTACATTATCATGGTAACTTTTAGAGCCCTTCAGCTGAGTTGGCTTAAGAGCAAAGCAATAACTGAAGACTTTGCATATTTTTTGAACAGCCACGTTGGTAAAGGTCTCCATCACAGCTGTGAGCTTTGCCTGCAACAGATATTAACTACTGGTTGTTTTTCTGGACATCTTCACCTGCCTTAATGTTCAGTTTTGGAACTAGCAAGATGGAACTGAACATTTCTTTGAAAGAATGAAATACAGTTACTTATTATAGTGTTAAACATAGAAAAAGGCTTGAATAATCATATAAAATGTTTCTTAACCTTGAAATAAAACACTACAAAGAGGAAACACTTCAAAAACCGACTGTCTGATGGATCACAACAGACAAAAATTCCCTTAATAAAAATTGAATAGCACGCAGAATATCTGCAGAACAAAAACTAAACGTACCAGTCTGCGTTGTTTCTCATTCATTTCCAATATTGGATCCCTGTCACAACCAATTTCATTGTGGGATGGGCGAAATTCACAGTCAAAAACTTTCTGAATTTCGTCTCGAGCTGTTTCTGACAACAATGTCATTATAGACAAAGTTTGTTTGCGAAATAATTCAATCTCCACCATTGTACTCATTCAAAAATTGCAATATAATTGCAAATTTTTATATATAAAGTGATTGAATGATGTGACAACACAAACGATTCCGCGTTTACTGTGTTCATCTTAACTTCCGTTCTAAGGACTACATTCAAAATAAAAGTTTTTAAAAGCGTTTATTTTGAAACGCGCGATTGTCGCGGTGACAGGTCAATGCGAATGGACTTTTATTTTGAAATTCAAAATGACGCACTTCACGGAAGCCATATTTTTTACAGTCTATGTATTCAACCTGTAACAGTTGCGAATGACATTTGTCCCATATTTCGATTTTACAATGATGAATGAGAAATTACTGCAGTTTCGACGAGATCAGCACTGATTCATTTGGATCATCTTAGAAAATGTCGGGAAAGACAAATATCCAGGCATGTTTTCATTCATTCACTAACTAACGTTAATTCATTGACTCTACTTTAACCGTATTTATTAATAGTATTAGTATTTAATTACACATTAGTATGCGATTATGACATAATGGCTAAGGTTATTTTGGTTTAGGGCTAGTAAGTATGGGAAATTACACCTGAACCATATTAACCCAAAAAAGTTTTAGTGTAATATATCAAAAATGACATCTCGGTCCTTTACTCCTCCCTCGTGTTTAACTGACACAACGAATAGGCATTATTGTCTTATCTACTGAAGCCAGGACCCTGGGGCGTAGTGTCTCTTGTTTCGGTCTATCTTGCTTCATGTTCACTATACATTGCTTTCTCATACTCAAAGTATCTGAAGACTCCAGCAGCTCATCTCACTACAACTATGGCAGATGGACCTTATAAATTCATTAGGGTCAGAACATGAATAAATGAATGTTACTCTGTGCTGTTTGTATTGGTACTAACTTTTGTGTGAAATATTCTTTTACAGGACGGTGATGGCAGAGTCAGCAGGGTGATCCGTGTTGGCACCAGAAAAAGCCAGGTAATTGAATATATGTATGCTCATTGATTATTATCAATGTTGAAAACAGCCGTGTTACTTAATATATTTGTGGAAACAGTGATACATTTTTGTCAAGATTCTTTATTGAATTGAAAGTTTAAAAGAACAGCATTTATTTGAAATATAAATCTTTTGTAACATTATACATGTCTTTACTGACGGCTTTGATCTATTTAATTGTCCTTGCTGAATAAAAGTATATAATTATTATTATTTTTTTAATCTTTCTGATCCCAAACTTTTGCATGGTAGGGCACATACAAAAATAGATCATCTAAAATATTGTTATATCTAATATCATGTGAATAGGGGTGAATATCAAACCATTTAATACATTTAAATATGTATTTAAATGTACATGTTTCACAATTTGTATGACTGCTTGTCACTGGAATCATCCATTTATTTGAAAGTAGCAATGTAAAAGTTTTCCATATTATAACTATATAGATTTTGCCTCATCAATTCTTAGTATAAAAAATGTAGGTTTGTTTGGGTGTGTCAGTGGTGGTGATGGGTTTGATAAGCTTTCTGTCTTTGTCACGGTGGATATAAGATTGCTTAGTTTTTGTAAAGAAACTGGTCACAGCCCTCAAACATAGGGCATATGGAATATTGTTGAACCTTTTTGTTACTTGTATTTCTTTCAGCTGGCTCGGATTCAGACTGACAGTATTGTAGAGAAACTCAAGGGGTTACACCCTGATGTTCATTTTGAAATAGGTAGGAGATTATTGTGTAATATCCAAAACAGGATACCAAGTATGACGAAAGTTAATATTCACTCTGCTTAAACATATTTCCACTTCATACATTTTTTTATTTATTTCAGTGGCTATGTCAACAACTGGAGATAAAATACTTGACACAGCTTTATCCAAAGTAAGTCCTAATCTAAATTCCATTGCTGTCATAATTAATTAGTATTATAAAAGTTAATGTATATAAAGTTTTTGGAGAAATTAATTATTGTTCAAATTCTGTGTCAAAGATAGGTGAAAAGAGTCTCTTCACAAAGGAATTGGAGAATGCTTTGGAAAAAAATGAGTGAGTCCATCCGTCTTTGCTTCTGTATGTCACTCATGTATAATGCAGTACACAGCAGATTTGGTCTATGGTCTTTTGGTGCATTTGATGTTCCGGGGTTTGTATTGCTACATTGTTGCATATGTTTCAGTATGAATAATGCTGTTGTAATATTTTTGGTTCTATAGGGTAGACCTGGTTGTGCACTCTTTGAAAGACTTGCCTACTGTTCTTCCTGTGGGCTTCACTATAGGAGCCGTGCTGAAGTAAGGAAATCACAATAGTGTCTCTATTTTCTGAAGTGCTTATATGTTCCTCCACATCTGAAGAGTCTTTTATCTTAAAAGTAGCTGACATGTCATGTTACACAGCACACAAACATCAGCCTAAATGTTCATAAATTATTGTTAAAGAGTATGGAAGTACTGATGTTCAGTGTATTGCTTATTGCAAATCCTTTAATTATGAAGCCAACATTGTGATTTGACATTTCCCTCTCTTTAAAGACGAGAAAACCCCCATGATGCTGTTGTCTTGCACCCCAAAAATAAAGGCAAACGTCTCGATGCTCTCGTCGACAAGAGGTAAAAGCGGTGGCCTGTACACAGAATTATATATTTTAAATGTATATATTACTTATTAATACTTTATTAATAAGAAATTAATACTTTTATTCGCCAAGGACGCATTAAATTGATCAAAAGTGACAGTAAAGAGTCAAGACATAATGTTTTAAAAGATTTCTACTTCAAATAAATTGTACTTTTTTAACTTTTTATAAATATATATATATATATATATATACACTCACCGGCCACTTTATTAGGTACCCCATGCTAGTAATGGGTTGGACCCCCTTTTGCCTTCAGAACTGCCTCAATTCTTCGTGGCATAGATTCAACAAGGTGCTGGAAGCATTCCTCAGGGAGTTTGGTCCATATTGACATGATGGCATCACACAGTTGCCGCAGATTTGTCGGCTGCACATCCATGATGCGAATCTCCCGTTCCACCACATCCCAAAGATGCTCTATTGGGTTGAGATCTGGTGACTGTGGAGGCCATTTTAGTACAGTGAACTCATTGTCATGTTCAAGAAACCAATTTGAAATGATTAGAGCTTTGTGACATGGTGGAAGTAGCCATCAGAGGATGGGTACATGGTGGCCATAAAGGGATGGACATGGTCAGAAACAATGCTCAGGTAGGCCGTGGCATTTAAACGATGCCCAATTGGCACTAAGGGGCCTAAAGTGTGCCAGGAAAACATCCCCCACACCATTACACCACCACCACCAGCCTGCACAGTGGTAACAAGGCATGATGGTTCCATGTTCTCATTCTGTTTACGCCAAATTCTGACTCTAACATCTGAATGTCTCAACAGAAATCGAGACTCATCAGACCAGGCAACATTTTTCCAGTCTTCAACTGTTCAATTTTGGTGAGCTCTTGCAAATTGTAGCCTCTTTTTCCTATTTGTAGTGGAGATGAGAGGTACCCGGTGGAGTCTTCTGCTGTTGTAGCCCATCCGCCTCAAGGTTGTGCGTGTTGTGGCTTCACAAATGCTTTGCTGCATACCTCGGTTGTAACGAGTGGTTATTTCAGTCACTGTTGCCCTTCTATCAGCTCGAACCAGTCTGGCCATTCTCCTCTGACCTCTGGCATCAACAAGGCATTTCCGCCCACAGAACTGCCGCTCACTGGATGTTTTTTCTTTTTCGGACCATTCTCTGTAAACCCTAGAGATGGTTGTGCGTGAAAATCCCAGTAGATTAGCAGTTTCTGAAATACTCAGACCAGCCCTTCTGGCACCAACAATCATGCCACGTTCAAAGTCACTCAAATCAACTTTCTTCCCCATACTGATGCTCGGTTTGAACTGCAGGAGATTGTCTTGACCATGTCTACATGCCTAAATGCACTGAGTTGCCGCCATGTGATTGGCTGCTTAGAAATTAAGTGTTAACGAGCAGTTGGACAGGTGTACCTAATAAAGTGGCCGGTGAGTGTATATATATATATATATTGAATGATTTCTGAAGGATCATGTGACAATGAAGACTGGAGTAATAATGCTGAAAATTCAAAGGAATAAATTACATTTTAAAAATGTATTAAGATAGAAAACATTAAAAAAAAATTATAAATGTAATAATATTTCACAATATTACTGTTTTTACTGTATTTTTTATCTAACAAATGCAGCATAAGATACTTTTAATAATAATACATTTTACACACCCCAAACTGTTTAATGGTAGTGTATATACTTTTATACATATATATATTTATTTTTTATTATATATTTACAGGATACATGTTTTCTTGAAAAATACATACATTTACATTTTATATTTGAAGTGTTATAGGTACCAGTTCTCTTCGCCGGGCTGCACAACTGAAGAAAAGGTTTCCCCACCTGGAGTTTAAAGACATTGTATCTTTCAGTGCAATGCAGCAATCATTTGATTTTCTCTCACTTTTTCTGTAGATGCATACAAACAAGTAAATTATGAATTCAGTGTGTTAACAAGGACTTGATGTTTTGTGTGAGCTTATGCCTTAACAGTCATGTTTCAGAGAGGTAATCTCAACACCCGTCTGAAGAAGCTGGATGAAAAGGATGACTTTTCTGCCATTGTCTTAGCAGCAGCTGGTCTTCGGAGAATGGGCTGGGAGAACCGCATTGGCCAGGTGCCTCTATCCTCCTTTAACCTACAATGCACTGCAATGTCTTCCCTCAGGTCAACTCAAGATTATTGCATTGATTAGCCTATAATGCATATTGATATATTTTGCATCATCCTGTTTCAGATCCTTGGGCCTGAGGACTGCATGTATGCCGTTGGACAGGTGGGTAACATTCAGTGTCCCTATTGAGCAAATCTCCTGCACAACGGTGAGTGTATGTCTATCGGACTGACCCTTACAGACTGCTCTTAATGTCCTGTTGAAGGGTGCTCTGGCAGTTGAGGTGAGAGCTCGAGACCGGGACATCCTGGAAATGGTGTCAGTATTAAATGACTCGGACACTGTGTTGAGCTGCATCGCGGAGAGAGCGTTCCTCAAACACCTGGTAGGCATCCTGCTGCACTCACACCTGTTTAAATTAAAGCTCCTGTAGGTAACTTTTGAAAACATGTATTTGCTAAAACTGTCATTATGTCCTGACAATAGAATATGAGACAGATAATCTGTGTAAAAATCAAGCTCCTCTGGCTCCTCCCAGTGGTCCTATTGCCATTTGCAAGAAATACACGCTCCCGGTCAGAAACAACCAATCAGAGCCAGGAGGCATGTCTCAGCAGTGTCAATCACGCTCGTGTACGCGCTGATCACACCCCTCTCTTGCACAGCGCGAGCCGTCGTTCAAACTCAAGATTGCCGGCGTGCTGCAGCTGTGCTTATGACGGAGAAACAACCTAAACTGCCAATTCTCGAGTGACACCTGCTCATAAAACAAAGAGGTAAAAGGAAAAAGACTGATGACGATAAACAAGCGAAAAAGAAAGAATTACACAGAGCCCATTGACTCGGTGTCAAAACTCTAGCCGCATAACATGTAGATAAAATGTCACGCACTCTGCTAAGCAACAATTGAAACCTGCTAATTCACTGGCTTGTCATGTTGCTAAAATAATGGGCTAGCACACCTTATCTAGCATTATATATCGCTAGAATAATTACTTACATACTGTAACGTTAGTTACCGTTATATTAACGTTATCTTACTAGCTATTTATAACTTATAGAAAGAGTGCAACGTTATAAAGTTACATGTAGGCTATTGCAAAATACATAATGATTTGAGGACCAAGTTTGTAGTCAAAGTATGGGCAGGCCATAGTCAATGTAAAGCATATTATTGACGTTTAGTCCCTATTAGTGAATGTGCCATATAACTTTTTATCCGCCGTTATGGGTGGCCCTGTTTACTAGCCTGCGCGTTCACGGCAGGCTCCGCTGTGGAGGACGAGCTGTGGAGGGAGGGCTGTAGCGCAGCAGAGAGCAAGGGGATGGGACCTGTAAGTTGTGCTTATTCAAATTTTCTGGCTAAGTCAACGTTTTCTCAAAACTCCCTACTGCAGCTTTAATTCATAATTAATAAATAGATACACTGTAATTCAAAAGTTTGGGGTCAGTAAGATTATTTTATGTTTTTGAAAGAAGTCTCTTATACTCATCAAGGTTGCATTTATTTGATCAAAAATACAGTAAAAACAGTAATATTGTGAAATATTACTATTTAAAATAACTGCATTCAATTAGAATATATTTTGAAATGTATTTTATTCTGGTAAAGCTGTATTTTCAGCATCATTACTCTCCAGTCTTCAGTGTCACATGATCCTTCAGAAATCATTCTAATATGCTGCTCAAGAAACATTTTTGTAATGTTGTACGGTTGTACTGTCATTTTTTATATAGCTAATTTGTTTTTTTCAGAATTCATTGATTAATATAAAGGAATAGCATATAAATAGGGATAGAAATCTTTTGTAACACTATGGGTGCGTCTCAATCAGCTCCCTAGTTTAGTAGTCAGGGCACTGTTCAGGGAGTCGGCCATTTTAAGGGCCGTCTCAATCGTAAAATGTTGGCTCCATAAAAAGTCCCACAATGCACTGTGAAAACCAGGGAGCATCAAGGCTCTCTATGTTCCCTTAACGGAAATTCTGAAGCACGAAACATACAGGCAGATATGGAATATAATCTAGCTAACGTTTATAATTAATTTACTGCTGAAATGTTGCAGGTATATGTAACAAGCAAAGTAGTGTAATGTGCTTTAAATAACATAAAAATAAATGTCAGTTTATTATAAAAATATCAGTTCTGCTGCTGTTTTTAAAGGGATAGTTCACCCAAAAAAGAAAATTCTGTCATCATTTACTCACCCTCAAGTTGTTCCAAACCTGTATGAATTTCTTTTTTTCTGCTGAACATAAAAGAGAGTTAAGGTTAACCAAACAGTTGATGGGCCCCATTGACATCCATAGTATAGACAAATAAATGGAAATCAGACAGAACCATGGAAATCAACTGTTTGGTTACCGATATTCTTAAAATATCTTCTTTTGTGTTCAGCAGAAGAAAGAAATTCATACAGGTTTGGAACAACTTTTTGTTGTTTTACCCAAAAATGAACAACTTTCATTTTTGGGTGAAATACCAGTAATGACGTGTGACATTTGTAAAAAAAAAAAAAAAAAAAAAAAAAAAAACTTTTTTTTTACCTTGAAAAATATATTTAAAAACTATGTGAAATGAAAATGTTATATTACTTTACTTTGGTAACACTTTACAATAAGGTTCGTTAACATTAGTTAACTACCTTAGTTAACATGAACTAAAAATGAACAATACTTCTTCAGGATTTATTAATCGTATTTAATATTAATTCCAACATTTACTAATACAATATTAAAATCAAAGGTTGTATTTATTAACATTAGTTAATACACTGTGAACTAACATGAACAAACAATGAACAGCTGTATTTTTATTAACTAACATTAACAAAGATTAATAAATACTGTAACAAATGTATTGCTCATTGTTACAGTATTTATTAATCTTTGTTAATGTTAGTTAATAAAAATACATGTTAACTAGTTAACTAATGTTAACTAATGAAGCTTATTGTAAAGTGTTACCATTACTTTTTACTTGATGGTTACACCATATGACATTTTTGAAGTCATTAAATAGAAACTTTTTCTGGAAAATTGTATAATTTTTTTTTTAAAACCACTACAAATACAAAGAATACATTTCTCAGAACTTTGTGCATGTGCCTTAAACTACTTTTTTTTATAGGAAGGGGGGTGCAGTGTTCCAGTTGCTGTTTACACTGAAGTTAAGAATTCACAGGTAGTGAGGAGCTACATGCTGATTTGACTTTATACTCAACTAGAAAATGTCTCAGCTGAATGACAGATCTGTGCTCGTTTTACAGGTCTACATGACCGGAGCAGTATTCAGTCTTGATGGCTCAGACAGTCTGAAGGAGACAATGCAGACAAGCATCAGCTCAGACAATCAGGTTGTTAATCCACTAAAATATAGATATCATTTCCGATATTTTGAATGTTTTGAATTTTACACTGATCCGTTTGCGTGTAACCTCATTATTCCCAGACTGAGGAGCAGGAGAAGGTTGATGAGAAGGTCCAGCGTGTGGGTATCACTGCTTTAAAGGTGTCAGGAGCAGCCCAGGATGCCGCAGTGAAGTTAGGAGTGGACCTTGGAAATCTGCTGCTCAGCAAAGGGGCCAAAGAGATACTGACTGTAGCCAGACAGCTTAATGACGCGCGATAGGTACAAAATAGTCCGTATCCATAGCTGAAGACCAACCACCCCCTTTTCCAGAAGTATTTTTTTAAAGGTCAACAAGTATTTAAGTGTCATCCTTTATAGATTACCTCTATATTTTGTGCGTAATTAAGATATTAGTTCATTTTTCACGGAAAAAAGGTAACTTTGAGTTGTATTTACAGGATTTTTAGCGAAGATCAATTTGCATTACTACTTTAAACAGACTTGGATGATGCAGAATAATAATGCCAAAATTACTTATTTACTGAAGACAAACATGAAAAACATCTGCATTACAGAGAGCTAATAGACAGAAATGATATTTGCTCTCATATTAAGCCATAAATACACAATCATGCCTTTTAAGATGGTGTGTGTTTTATCTAAACATATGCTTATTTTGAAACGTGAATTATTCTGGGATGTACATTTCCAAAAGCTGCTTGAGGTATCATCCACATTTTATCTTTACTGACTGTGCACATGTGGAGCTATACATCATAATAACCGATATCACACTACAGAATGATTTTGTATGATTGGGCCAGCTGATTTTTGATAATATTTAGTGTGAAAATGTAATTAAAAAAGGTTTTCATTCATTCCCAAATATTGTATGCCTTAATTGTTGTCATTGAACCCTTTAAATTGTTTGTCAGATCTTTCTAACATCAGTGCCTGGAAATTCAAAATATCGCCTCTGCAAATTTCTTTGTGTATGTGACTTTGAGCTCATGGTCTCATAGAGATGTAAAGTTTGTATGCACTGCCTCATCCTTTTCATTTATTCCTCTCAAATATGATGTTGTTGCTTTATTTATTTGGCTAAATGTATTTGCTGGACATCATCTTGTTCTTACAATTGAATGACGATGTATGATGAAACTAAGCCAGTATTAATTTGCTGTGATATTCTAAAACACTGATTTATATTTTGTATGGTTTAGAGCTAGTTTAACTGATACCAACTTGATTTAATGTAAGCATATGCAAGATTTTTAGAATGTACTGAAACTATTGAATTCCATAAAATACATTTAGTTTTTTCATTTAGTCGGTGGTGTACTGGTAAACTGAACTCTGAATAACTAGCATTTACACGAAACAGCATATTTCAAAAGTTTGGTGGTTTTAAGAGCAGAGTTGTTCGGTTTTACTAACTTTATTTGCTAGTCCGAAATAAATCAAGCAATATAGATGCAGTCATGTGTTTTTGACTTTCTTTGTTGTTTTTTACAAACTGCATTAGACCGTAAGAAAGGCCTACCAACTATGTCACTACTTTTTCTTCGTAAATATAAAATAAAGTTTTACTCAAGACTTGACATGTCATGGCTGCGGTATAAATAAAGGAGTAATTCATTATATTATCAGAACTGTCTCTGCTCTGAACTCTTAGAATAGAAAAATAGATTTGAGATATCAGTTTTATTTACAGTAGTCAACATTTGAAGTGGATCAAAAAGTTCATCAAAGTTGTCCTAAGACAAGAACAGGTATTGTTCAAAATTAATGTGTAACTTTGATGAAAGGTTTTGATCCACTTCAAATGTTGACAACTATAGATGCATACTTTTCATGAGTAATGTTTCATATATCTATTCCAGGTACCAGTTGACATAAACTGAAAGACTGCCTGTCAGATGTCAAGCTTAGACTCGTTCACAGATCTTGTTCTGAGGGTGAACTCGCTTTATTAGCGCGTGGCTTCTGGCAACCAGCTGTGGCATGTTGCCATCGCGTCCACTTATTTTAACAGGAAATTACATACCACACTGTCCACAGAAGTCTATAATCTCTAACCTGCTTTAATAAACAAACATGCATTTTAAAAGCACGCACATATTTGTGTGACAGTTTTACACAATGATATAAATATATTTATATAGGCTATATATATATATAGCCTAGGCCTACATTAAAGATTAAAAAATATATACATTTAAACTAAATAATAAATCTTAAACGATAACACTCCAATTATCAAAAATAAATAAATAAACAGGTAAAAGCAATTTATGTAGGCCTATGTATTTTTGTCGTTTTCCATAGAAGAGAGTGCACGTGACGTGAACGCGCACTAAGCGTGCAGGCAGAGAATTGCCCTGTCCCAAATGGAACCCTAAGCACTCGCGGTCTTCCTCTGAGTCCGCTTTGAATGTCGGGAAGAAGTCTGCTGTGGAGTCCTCATCAGCGTGGGCTCGGCAAAAGTGCGCATCAAGGGCGCAAATCGACCGCAGAGGGGGCGCTCGCGAGCACCCTTCTGAGATCTAAAAATGACAAATGGGACACACTGCGGTCTCACGGACTTAACGGACACGCGCACGCGGCAGCCATTGTAAGTCCACAAGACAGAAAGTGCACATGAAGTGTGCCATTTGGGACAGGGCCTAATGTCTAATATGACGGGCTTTGGTGCAGGTCTACATACATAGGCCAAGTGGTGCTCACCTGGTGCTCACTGCAGACAGAGCCGAAGGACGTCCTGCTCCCCCTTTCTGGACCTCATGGGTTGAGGAGGAGGGATAGATTTATGGGTAGGGATTAGTACGTACGGAGACCTGCGCGGACGGATTTTTCTCCCGATAAATTATTTGTTATAAGCATTAACATTCACAAACCACTGTTAATTTAACATAAAAGCAAGCAGGCTACTGCGTGCATGGTTTGGCATGACTGAAACTGATCATAATTCCGCTCATAATTCCTAAAAAGCTCACAGTCACAAATCTCAGTTATTTTCAGTGAAACTGACTGCACATAATATCTACACTTTGTTTGTTATTATCAGAGCATTTGCCAGCATGCAGAATTCAGCACTGAACAAAAAGTCAGTTTTTTGACCGGTGAGGGATTCTATCTTAAATGCATCTGATTGGCCGTTATTGCGTTCAAGAAATCAACACATATGTCTTGGCTGGCTACATTAACGCTGCAAACATGTTATAAATTGAAACTGGCCTGTAGCCTGTAAATCGTTTCTATTTTATTTTAGTATTGTTGCTTTTGTGCACCAGACGAATAACAATTTATTGGTTTAGATGTTTTATTTATAGATATTTCTATTTTGCGGGAGTCCCGCGAATTGTTTTATTCTCCCGCAACCCGCACACACAAGAGTGCATTACCGCCCGCGCGGCCATCAAATCAGTCCCGCGCCGCACTCTGTTACTTTGGGTCCCGTGGGACCCGCGGTATTCCCGCGGGAGTGCATGCCTCTAGTAGGGATAGTGATCCACCTATTACGCCCAAATTACATCTAAAGAGGGGGAGCTGGACTTCACACTGACTCCACCCATGGCTCAACAGTGAGCAGCAGCCTCTCTATCCCAGGTTTTGCGTCACACCTCCCACTAAATTCCCTCAGGAGTCAGGACTCGGTTTTTCATTCAGTTCTGTTCGGGATTACCAGTGGCAGGACCTATTTCTGGTAGCTACTTATTGTAAAGGAAAAAAGTGACGTGCATTTCAAGACTTAAACGAATACATTTCCTCTCAAGTAGGCCTACCCCAAGGTAAGTTATTTTCCTCCCCTAAATTTTAAACATTGTCATTGCAGTTAATTCTCAGCAGGAGCATAACTTTACAATAGGCCTACTTGTTTTATCATCTCTGACTGACTTTAGAACAATAGCATTTGTCTGAATAATAATGTCTTAAAATGTTATTTACGGAATACATTTTTTATCACATATTTTAATCGTAATACAATAGGCTACTCTGCTGTGATATGGTATTTTAAGAGGCTTTGATAACCTCAATGAGGTTTACTTTTCATATATATATATATAGGCTATGTGCATGGTATTAATAGAGAAAAAAAAATACTAATTCTTGTGGATTAGAGTCCATACACAGCATAAAGACCACAAAAGCCAAATCTCTTAACTCTCTATGTTGGCCTGTTAATTTTTTTTTATTTAAATTTTTTTTTGTCCAATAAAACAACCTTATTACCCTCAAAACGGCAGGAACATATCAATACAATGTGGTTTTCTATCACTTTAGGGCTTTAGTTTAACACTTTAGTTTCTTTTTTAACAAATCCCTTCATATTTTCAAATTGTATTTCCAGTTTTTATTTCCAGTTTGTATTTGCAGAGACCCCTTTTTTAAATTTTCAGAAACCCCCCAACTTCCTTTTCTCAAATATCTCTCTTCATAAAATTGAAAGGGTTGATAATAAGAAATATTTACAAAATTATTGAATGCACACTAAATTATGTTTTATTATCTGAAATGTTCTGGATGTGTATGTTATCTAACACTTGTAAATGAACATGCACAGTATTTCACCAAATAGTGGGCAAAATCACAGTGGCAATAATTTGTTCTACCCATACGTCTATGAAAAATTTTGATTATGTTTCAATGGATGCAATACATTCCAACAAGATTTCCATTGTACAGGCTGTCTCCTCACGGCACAATCTACTAAGTCTCATGTGAACGCTCGAGCGATCCCCTCCTACCTAGTGCTCTCTGTGGGACTGAGCCAATGATATCTGTCTCTGACCTGGCTATTCACATTCTCTGATTTCGCTCTTTCTTTTGGCTGTCAAACTCCAGGGACTTACATCTAGCCTGTCAGATCAGTGTGTCAGCACAATGCAGTCTCTTGGAGGAAACCAAATCCTAGCCTTTTACAAGAGCTCCAAATTCTAAACCAGATCAATTTGACAGAGTTGGGGCCTCTCCTGATTCCTGAATGAGCAGACAGTGTAAAAAGGTTTGCGTTTCAAGGGCAGAATATAGGAAGATGCTCCCCTTGGAGATTTCTCATTTTGAATGCATGGTTATGTACTGTATGATGATGACTCATGTACTTTATAGACTATAAGTCAAGTCACAGTGAAATTAAATGTAAAAATGTAACCATATATTTTTTTTTTTAGACATGTAGTCTAGTCACAGCACTGAAGCATTTTTGCTCCCTTTTAGACTAGTGGAATGTCCGAGAAGACGTCTGATCCAGGGACAGTTAGCATTACAATGGAAGACAGCCTTTGTAATGGGGGAACACAGCCCCAGGAAGCTCCATTGCTAACCCATCTGAAGAAGGTGGATAACCACATCACAGAGGCACAGCGCTTCTCTCACCTGCCCAAACGCACTACTGTGGACCTGGTGTTCAGTGACCTCTCCTACACCATCAGAGAAGGACCGTGGTGGGAGAAAAAAGGTCAGGAGCGCACACACATTTTGATTAATGTTTCTATAAATATAAAGAAAATGGAAGTTCACATCTGTACAGTAGAGGCTGTAGCTCAAACAAACCTTTCTAAGCATGGTTGAATTGGATCATCGAAGGTCAGCAGCAAAGACTGATGAGATTAAAGTGAGATTAAATACATAAAGTATGTTTGTACATTTAACATATTTAATTATAGAAGGTTTGCGTAATATTCTGAGTTTGCATTTCACTGTTATTCATTTGAGGAATACTGAATCTGTTTTTGTGAGGACAGGAGAAATGTCAGTCAATAAATGGGAAAACAAAGGCCCTGTTTACAATTAAGATGCGTGTTGGTCGATTGGATCACAAGTGGACGACGCTAAATATAGGAGGAAAAGGGTCTAAAAGGTTTTGTGCTTGTACACTTTCGGCCTCTTCCAGAGGTAGTCGAAAACGCATTCAACCAGATTGCTTTCGTAGTGTAAATGCTAATGTGGTCGAATGTGTTCAAACAGCCACAAAAGGCCTCCTTCCTCCACCTACTGACATGGGAAGAACGCTAGCCAGATGGGATTTAAACTTTGTCGGCTGAAGACCCAAGTTTGGTTTGAAGACGTACGGTAAAACGTACCAAGCTGAATGTTCGCTCACCTTTCCTGATTTCTAACACGCACTGACCATATTTGGCGCGGTCTTGCGGCTGTCAGAACAGAGAAAGCTGACCTCAAAGAACCAGGACAGAAGTGGTCGAAAGTAGACAAAAGAGACGATTAAAACAGCAGGTGTTAATGTGTAAATACAAGTCAAATCGGATATTAAAACATTCAGGACTTGGCTAGATGCATTCTTATAGTAGCAGCTTTTGTTCGTTTACAAAGCGGATACAGTAAGTAATAGCATTTTACCAGTTTAGCATACAGAGGAGATTAAAATCACATTAGAACAATTAACAAGACTGATCTTGGCCTTGCTTTTCCATTTAGATCTTTCGATTTGCAGGTATAACTTTATGAATGCTGGTATCTCATTCTGATCACTTGTTTTTATCTGTTGTATCTGTCTGCTTTCATCTGTTTTTCGCTGTCTCACCGCACTGTCTAGTCTGGCCCAAAGATAGGAGTTGGTTCTTTACTTTTACGATTTATTGGTGAAAGGATACCAGTGTGGAAGATGCTACTATTTTGCAGCCTTCCTGGGCCAACAAGACTTTTATTTTTGCAGTGCCATCACCACAAGTAGTTTAAATTAGATGACATCAGATCTGACATCACTAGGGAGAATAACATTTTCAATCTGAAGTTGCTTTATGATATCATCCTAATGCTTGTTCCTTGGTAATTATCCTGACTATTCTTATGCGTGATGAATGTAGCATTCACAATATGTCTGCATTATGATAAAGAAATACAGAATGAAATGTATTTGTAGAGGTGATACATGTGAATGTGAGTGTAAAATGTAATTTGCACTCTATGCTTCCATTGTGGCCTAAAGCAAGAGCTCCACCAATGATGATAATATGGCAGCATCAAACGACTTCTAAACATTCAGTGAACAGACATGTATGGGAATAAAGTCAAAGAGGGCTTTCCTTGATTTGACTGTGAGAACAGAGTTTTTGGCCTATTAGGCTGCTAATTAGAGTGCCTTTTTTTTTTTTTAGATTTTGCTATATCAGTGACTCCTCAAAATGTTTTTTTTTATGTGACCTTTCGGTCTGTGGGTGGGTGAAAGCCATCTTGGTGGACTCATAGAAAGGTCAATGAGCAGACTTGTCTGTTGTCTGAGTGGTTTAATTAGCCACTGAACTTAAAGGTTTTTGAATCTGATTCTCTCATCACCTTTATCACTCACTTTCTCACATTTCTTAGCTTTGGAGAAAATATGTGGTACAGTCATGAGGTTCATGGATTAAACCATACTTCTTATTTGAAGGGATTAACTGCAAGTTGACCGTTTGTTCAAAAGGAGAACCAACCGTATGATGCCAAGCATATATTTTCCCCCTGCAGGTTATAAGGCCTTGCTCAAGTGTCTATCAGGCAAGTTCTGCAGTCGGGAACTCATTGGCATTATGGGTCCCTCTGGGGCTGGAAAGTCTACCTTGATGAACATCCTGGCAGGGTATAGGTGAGGTTACATTGAGTGCAAAAGTAATGCTGGGGGGAAAAAATTACAAAAACTATTAGTTCTAATTGATCATATTATTGGATTTTTTTTGTTGGAATGCATTTAAAATAAATAGCTTACATACCCATGGCTGGTTGTCTTGTGCGTTGAAGGGAAACAGGGATGACTGGACAGATACTGGTAAATGGAAAGCTCCGAGACCTCCGAACCTTTCGTAAAATGTCCTGTTACATTATGCAGGAAGACAAATTGCTGCCCCACTTGACCGTTCAAGAAGCAATGATGGTGAGTCTGCAGGGAGAATGGTGTGGTAAAGGATACCCCCTACTGCTGGTTTGATGCTAATGCTCATATTACAATCACTTCAGAATGATTTTCATGTGCAGAAATGTTTTTGTTTCCAAAGGGAAACAAATGAATGAACTCAACTGAATGATTTCTCCACTGTTTTTAAGGTATCAGCCAACCTGAAGCTTAATGAAAACACAGAGGTGAAAAAAGAGCTGGTAGGTAAAGCTCATCACCTCATTCAAACTTGCTCCAGTATTTTTACCTGTGAAATTTCACCTACTTTCCATGTGTTTATGTTGGCATGTAGATAAAAGAAATTCTGACAGCCCTGGGACTACATGAGTGTGTCCACACTCGTACTGTCTCTCTCTCTGGGGGCCAGTGTAAGAGGTTAGCTATTGCCCTCGAGCTAGTAAACAACCCCCCAGTCATGTTCTTTGATGAGCCCACCAGGTAATGATGTTACAGTCTTTAGACACAAATAAAACAGCATTATTTATATGCTTGTGCTTGTGACATGGATTTTTATATATACCCTTATGAAAAGAAATTATATTTCCCTATAAATGAATGATCAATATATTAAATGGTTTAACAGTATATTTGAAAATATGCAGAATAATATATCATGTTAATATACAATATATTGAATAATACATAAGGAATTGCCGTTTTTCATATATTGAAAAATATGTGACAATATATTTACTAATGTATAATGTATTTAATTTTATATTCAGTAATACACTTAATATAGATGTACATGTGATCAGAACTGGTACTGCATGTGTAATATATTGCTGATATATTTACTCATGCAGCATAAACACATATATAGAGAAATATATAATGTATTATATTTCTTATTTACATTATAAAAGTTTCATATTTTCTAGCTTGTTAACAAGAGCACAATCACACCAGCATGTACTAAAGTATTTTGCAAATAGACTATCATTGTGCTGTGGAAGGCACACCCATTATTTTTAAAATATAGTAATTGTAGGCTTAATGAGTATTAGCCATTTCGGCCAATCATCAACCTCACCACAGGCTCTACTCTTCAGCACAATGGTAACCCCGAAAACTCAGACATACCAGAAAACCTTTTAAATTCCAAAATAATACAACTTAAAACACTGACAGATCTCCCCCTGTATTAATATTGAGCAAAACACATTAAATAACACTTTTAACATTTGCTCACAGTAAGAAGCAAAGCATGCTGGGAACTAGAAATCTGTTGTAGCTCATTCTGGGAATGTGTGTATATATGTGTGAACATACATTCACATTTATATGGTAACATGTATGTGCAATATATGTACACAATAAAAGATAAAATGTTGTGAATATTACTTTTAATGCTATTTTTGTCTTCATTTATAAATATTTTATATGCATTCATATATAGCCATACATGGTCATGGATATATTAATCCTGGGGGACACTTCGCTTATATATTGCAGTATATTGAAAAATATAAGCACAAGTTTCCCATATGTATTATGTAATATATTCTGCATTATATTTTGCAGTATATTCCCATATATTTTTGTTCCATAAGGGTAACCATACTGTATGTTTGTTAAATGTTGCTTTTTGATTTCAGTGGTTTGGATAGTGCGTCCTGTTTCCAGGTAGTGTCTTTAATGAAGTCTCTGGCACAAGGAGGGCGAACCATCATTTGCACTATTCATCAGCCCAGTGCCAAACTCTTCGAGATGTTTGATAAGGTACAAAGGCATGTGCAAATCTTTTTGGGAATCTGAAACGTCTTCAGATCCCTTCAGTCATCATTTGATTTATTCTGTGTCTCTTTCACAGCTGTATATTTTAAGCCAAGGCCAGTGCATATATAAGGGAAGTGTCCCATACCTCATCCCTTATTTGAAGGGACTGGGTCTTCACTGTCCAACATACCACAATCCTGCAGATTTCAGTGAGTTGACCATGTGTTTTTATAAATACCCATACTTACATACTCACATATACAAGCATATATACATATGTGTGTGTGTGTGTGTATATACATTCAGTAAGGATGCCTTTAATTGATAAAAAGTGACAGCAATTTCTATTTAAAATAAATTTTGTTCCTGTAAACTTTCTAAAACCATTTATAGTATCATGGTTTCCACATAAAATAGTAAGCAGTACATTATTATTAAGCATTATTAAGTTTTCAACATTAATAATAATACATATTTCCTGAGCACCAAATAAATAATACATATATATACACAGTATATACATAATGCATCATGCCTCTGTTTTGTGCTTCTGTCTGTCTGTTTTGTGTGTAGTCATTGAGGTAGCATCAGGAGAGTATGGTGACTTGAACCCAGTGTTGTTTGAGGCTGTTCAGGGTGGCATGTGTGCTTTGGGGGAAAAGTGCAACTGTATCGACATAACCACCGTACCCGCATGCGCTGCAAAATGTGTCAAAGTGAGTGATGCTAGTTTCATAATCACCCGTTGCTTCCGGTGGATAGCAGCTGTAATGCTTACTTGCATATATTGTGGTCAGGATGTATGCTAGACAAACTGATCCACTGTGTTCAAAAGCCTCTTTCAAATAAAAAAAATACTGTATGTGTTTAATATGATATAACTGTCTTCTTAATGTTTCCTACACTTGCTTTTACAGGATTCAGGACACATTGAGAGCCATACCTTTGCTACAAGCTCTCTGACTCAGTTCTGCATTCTATTTAAAAGAACATTTATTACAATATGCAGAGACCAGGTACAATGTTGTTTCATTTAGTTGATATCTGGTATGTCAGTCCTAAACTTTCCTAAGTGTGTGTCCAATATGACGCAATACTGCCTTTCAAAATAACTATACCAACACTGAAAGTGACAAAAATATTTTATTTTTTATTGAACTTGATGCCAAACCCATCTTACAAACTAGATTAAAAAAAAAATAATAATAATATATATATATATATATATATATACATATTTTAATTGTATTGTAATTTTAATAGAATTTTTTACCACATGGTGTCTTCATTGTATTATAGTATTTTTCTCACTTAGTATTTAGGTCTTAAAACATGGACCTATATAGCAGCTTTATATTGTAGGAAGGGGATCATCATATTTGGGGGTCATTGGAATCAAAAAAGACCCAATTTTGATCTTAACTTTGTAGCTATTGCATTTTACTTTTGCAGAATTGTTTAATAATGGCGTTTGGTTCGTGATCTAGGTTTTGACACATCTGCGGCTAATGTCACACATCTCGATTGGAGTGTTGATAGGCCTGCTGTACCTCAATATTGGCAATGATGCCAGCAAAGTCTTCAACAACACCGGTTTCCTCTTCTTCTCAATGCTCTTTATCATGTTTGGAGCGCTGATGCCTACAGTTCTTACCTGTAAGTTAGAAAAGAGAAATGTAAGAACGTAGCAGCCATGTCACAGTTTCACTATCAACACATGTACCACAATTTTGGGTCTTAACTCATGTCCTACATTCAGCATGGGAAGTGAAAGTGGTTTTGATCTGATTCTCTGCCCTGTTTTCAGTTCCTCTAGAGATGGCTGTGTTTCTGAGGGAACATCTAAACTACTGGTACAGTCTGAAGGCTTACTATCTGGCAAAGACAATGGCTGACATTCCCTTCCAGGTGGGTGCCTGTCTGCCTGTCTAAGCCTTACTGGCTCCATTTTATGCCTGATATAAGCTGAGCATATTTTGACAGTGCTGCTGAAAGTTTAATATAATGGAACTAAGACAAAGGAATCATGGACACTTATAAAACCAACATTTGATATTGTCATGGGCTTGTCCACTCTTTCTCAGGTCATTTGTCCCATCATGTACTGCAGTATTGTGTACTGGATGACTGAACAGCCTCCAGAGGCAGCCCGCTACTTGCTGTTTTTGGCTTTGTCAATCTGTACAGCTTTAGTAGCTCAGTCTCTTGGGCTTCTGGTCGGTGCTGCCTCCACATCCCTTCAGGTACATGTTGCAGCTACTATCACTGTTAACTAAATGTTTTTATTTCTCAGGGCTCCAGACTGTGACAAAAACATTTACGACAGTACTTTAAAATCATGTCAGGATAGCCGTGAAAACTTAGCTTCTATATTAAGAGATTAAAAGTTTAAGAGATGCCTGCAACTCTAGTTTACGAAGACATTTTTATCGGTCATAACTTCTGGAGAAAAATAACCCAGATACTAGACAAAGATTAAACCTTTTTGGTGCACATGTGATGACCACCTGTGTTCGTACACGCTATCAAATTAAGTATACTTTGCACGTTCGGCTATATGTGTACACTAAGCGTTCACTTAAAAAATGCAATTAAAGAAACATATTATATATGCTAAAAAAATGAGTTTTCTTATTTAAAAAAAAAAAGATATCAATTGGTCATTGGTTAGACTTGTTTGATTTGACTCTAAAACAGTGTCTACACTAGACGCAAACGGCGCAATGTGACAAAAACCGATAGAGCCCATTATAATCAGTGATGCGGTCTACACTTAATGCGACATGACAAATTCCTGACGGTAAACTGATGCCCTTTTCTATATCTGACATACTTCAAGTGTGCACACTACTTCTGACATGAAGGCAAATGTATTTGCAGCAGTCGCTTTGTCATGTCCAGTTTAAAAAGCCTCAAGCTGTTGCATTGGGACGCGACAACTGTCATGTCAGTGTAGACATGGTGTAAGAAAAACTGTTTGTTTATCAAATACAAGCTAAGCACATAATATGTCACTGCCATATGACCATTACTATGATACAATCATCTGACTGATAACAGATTGCTTCCTAAATTGTAACATTCAACCAAGCATTTTCTGTAAACCTGCTTTGAAACAATATTTGTTGTGAGAAAAGCACTATACAAATAAACTCATATTAAATTAAATGTTTAATTTTAGGATCCAATGGCTAGTCATTAGTTCAGTCTGGATGCCTGCTTTTGGTTATGGTATAACTTTTCAGCTTGTCTTGGCGTGGCATAGACTTTTTTTATACTTACTGTATTGTGCATCTTCTTCACAGGTGGCCACTTTTGTTGGTCCAGTTACAGCCATTCCAGTCCTACTTTTCTCAGGCTTCTTTGTGAACTTTGACACCATTCCAGAATACTTACAGTGGAGTTCTTATGTGTCCTATGTCCGGTATGCTATTTATATCTTAAATAGGTGTGTTTGCTTTCACAATGCAAAATTACAGTGTCATGTTTGTTTGATTGTGCTTATGATAGGTATGGATTTGAGGGGGTGATTTTGTCCATTTATGGGATGAACCGAACTGATCTTGAATGTCCAGGAAGGGTTTGCAAGTTCCAAAGACCTGAAGAAGTTCTGCAGTTGTTGGATGTAGAAGATGCCAAGCTCTACATGGACTTCATTGTACTGGGTATTTTCTTCCTTATCCTGCGACTCGCCACTTACTTGGTTCTTCGGTACAAAATAAAATCAGAGCGATAATATTCAAGTCATGGCGTTTCATGGTCTCCAGCACAGGCTACTCTAGAAACCATTTCCAAAGGTGTCATCCTCTGCTCAGGAAGGTCAGATTTACTTGTTGATCTGGTTCTAGTTTTGTTTTTCATTTGGATTAAATAAATCACATTTCATTAGGGGCTTTCGCACTGGATAGTTCTAGGAACTTAGTAATAGGAAGTAGGAACTAACCACCAGGATGGTTCCCCGAGAACTAATGGTTCCCCTAGGAACGTTTTCCTGTTGCATTCGCACCGCCAGTAAGAACTCTGAAGTGATGTGAGCCGCGCTCGTTGTTGCGACTTTTATTTTGACGGCGCTCAGAACGCCAGAGCCTGAGCAAACAAAAAATGCTCGCATTCTCCGTGTTCATTAGTTTATGATCTGTCTAACAGTCCTGTCTAATACGATATTAGATAGAACTGTTATACATAGAAAGTAGACAGTAATGAAAAGTTATTAGCGTATGCCGTGTGGTTGATGTCCAGTGTTTAAAAATTTGCTCCATGGCCTCCTAATCATCCCCATATACTGATTGGCTTCATCACTGTCTCCTCTCCACCAGTAAGCTGGTGTGTGGTGGGCGTTCTGGCGCAATGTGGCTGCCGTCGCATCATCCAGGTGGATGCTGCACATTGGTGGTGGTTGAGGAGATTCCCCCTTCCATGTAAAGCGCTTTGAGTACACAGAAAAGCGCTATAAAAATGTAACGAATTATTATTATTGTGTTGTTAGCTGAGCAGAAATACATAATCATGTTTCGCTTGGTCCCCTCAAAGTTGTGTTGGATTTTCTCCTCCGCGTAAAGGTTAAGAGGCCCATCTATCACTGTTTTCCATGTTCGTAGAGTTAGTTTGTTGAGTAAATATAGAGGCTATAATCTTTGTGTTTACACAGCCTTTTTAAAAATGGGGGGTGCTGGTGTTTCGCGTGCGTTCGGCCAATCAGCGTACACTAACGTCACTATTAGTTCCAATAGTGCTGGTTTAGACCCTACTCTGAAGTAGGAGCTAAATTAGTTCATCCAAAAGAGTTCCTAGAACTAAAATCGTTCCTAGTTCCTGCGGTGCGAAAGCGCCAAAATTCGGGTACTTCCGCCAATAGTTCAAGGAACTATGAAAAGGTTCGAAAGCCCCTACAGATTTGGCTTTAAAAACTGGAGTAAATAATTTACTGTTTTTCAGTGTTACATTGATGCAGTTCCAGATGTTGAAAAAAATTGGTGTAATATTTAAATTTGGTATCACAATTTGAATTTGGATATGCATGCAAATGATAATTTACTGAACTTACTGGCAATTCTAAAACTCATTTAACTCTGGATTTTAAGCTCACACGAACACTGATGCCATTTTTATAATCAAACACTAATTAGAATTAACTTTTTTATTTATTATTTTTTTGCATCTTCAGTTTCAGAAACCACATCATGAACATATTTAGCCTGAGGTGAGGATGTTTACATATTGCAAGTCTGAAAAGGTTTTTAATTTAAACCCGATGACTGTGAAGGTTCACACGGTGCCTGGGTTTCTATTAAACCATTGTATCCATTTTTTTGTATAGTATATTTTATTAAACTAAGTTTCTTTCTTTTTTGATTATTTAGTATTTTCGTCTTGAGATTTTATGTAATTACTTGGTGCTACAAATTATGTATTAAAACAAAGTTATAATTTTTTTAGTCCAACAAACTTTCATACTATGTCAGCAATGTATTGCTTAACATGTCATACTGCCAAAAATGTATGTAGTGTGTTTAGAAATAAAATTATGAGACCCATCAGAGGTGCAGTTTCTGACTAACAATTGCAAAACACGGTACTTGAATGTAGTATCCTGGTTCATATTATAATTTAATAATAAATGCTTTAATTGTTATCGTTTATTTGACCTCTTACAGTAAGTGAAAACTAAGCCATTTGACAGTGCATTTTGGAGAGAGAAACAATTATTTTGAACATTGACTAACTCTGACTCATTGAACTAAAAAAGAAGAATACCATGTGCAACCTGTTTGTTTCATGTTTCATCAAAGAACCTTTCTAAGAATTGTGAACTATACCCAGAATTCCTTGGAGCTACAAAGAGCTTACAGTAGAAGCATTCGTCATCCTTGAGGAACCCCTATAGCTATAGGTCCATGTATAGAACTTGTTGGACTTGATACTGAAAATTGTAGGTGCGTCAGTTTGATCAGGGCAAAAACAGCTTATGACATTGCATAAAATTAATGTCAAAAATAATTAATGCTTGGGTGGGCCTATAAAATTGTGACATGCTGTATGATTTTGCTGTCTGAATATACCTTATTAAATGTATCAGACTTAAAACTCAAGCAGAACCCTAAAGAAAGCTTGTATTGTAGTTTTAAACTGCTGGAAGGATATATAACTTTTAACAAATCATTATGCTTTCACATTATAATCCTAAGGCATATGTGGCTTCACTATGTCAACTTTATGGCTTTTATTAAGTAATTTGACCTTCCCTACAGCGTTGTATGAAGAGCAAAGTTGAAAGTTTGTGTTTGTGGGCGGTACTACGACTGACTAGCTTAGCAGGAAGACGGAGCGGAGAGCTCTCATCGTCCTGCCGTAGAATGGACGCTTTCCTCGGCTTTGATCTGAGCGTCAGAACGCTGGCAGAGTTCGAGGGAAAATTTGGAAGAATTCGCCGTATTCCCAGCCTCTAGATTAGGTAAAGACTTGCATTAATTACAAGCATTTTAATCGTTACGTCTGATTTCTCATGTTAATGGTAGTAGTCATAGTGCTATGTTGCTCTTATTCATCATCACATAAGGGTGATTTATATTGAAATAAAGTACGTCACAACAACGTACACTTCTGAAACCATGTTCAGAACTGAGTTTGCGTAGAGTTCCAAAAATTTAATTGACGAATTCCATTAAATCTCTTAATCACACTCGAAGATGCATGACAGGCACGTGTGACGGATACATCTGTTCTGTTTACATTTACAGACAAAACTGTTTGACCTGTACGAAATGTTTTAAAGTGCAGTTGGATATGCAAACGTTTCACATATAAGGAAACTGCTAAAAAGAGCTGTACAAGCCAAATAATAATAAAATACATATGATAAACACTGACCTTATTGAGTTCTGACCTGATTGTACTATTTTTAGACGAGGGACAAGCTTAAAATTGACATTGCCACTGTATGCAATACTTGGTATCAATTGTCTTTAAGCTAGACTTTAAAAAATAATCCATATTGTTAAATATCACCATAAAGCATTTGATTGTTGGTTATTTTGGACTGTAGCTGTCTGAAATATGTGCCCTGTGCTCAGGGACGGGCAGTATTTCAGATACATGTATTTAAACGTATTTGAAATACAAAATACTATTTTGTATTTTGAAGCCTTTGGGGAAAATCAAATGTAATTTGTATTTAAATACATTTAAGATGAGTATTTTTGTATTTTCAAAATACATAAAATACTTTTTGCCAGTCAACCTCTTTATCCAGGTGCTGGTTTCATGCATCAACTAGTTCAGACTCGTTTATAATTTTAATGAACTTATAGAAACAAATAAACTTTACATAAAATAAATATAAAATTACTATACTTAAAAAATAGGGGTGTAACAATATCGTGTCACAATATATCGCAATACAAAAATGCAACAATATGTATCGTGGATAATTCACCCCAAAAAAAAAACTAATGTGTGAGAAAAAATTCTAGTTTACAGAGTTTGTGTCATTACTACATTTAACTTCTATATAGTGTTGAATATAATAATAATGCAATTATTAGGGAATATTTGTGGGTCCTGATAATGCCAAATGTCTGATGTTAAAGGGATAGTTCACCCCAAAACTCGGTCAGCTCACCCTCATGTTGTTCCAACCCCGTAAGACTTTCGTTCATCTTCAGAACACAAATTAAGATATTTTTGATTGAATCTGAGAGCTGGATCACTCCTCCATAGGCTTCATTTCCTTCTCTGTTGGCCTCGAGATAGTTGTAGTGTAACAGCGCAGCGCTTCTGTGTTGTATGTCACACGTAGGCTCACTATTGGCCGACGCTGGTCATGTGTGTGATGTGTGTGACGTACAACACAGAAGCGCTGCGCTGTTACACTACGTGAAATCTCGAGGCCCACAGAGTAGGAAATGAATAGTTGAATAAAGTCGTTATTTTTGTTTGTTTTTTGCGCACAAAAAGTATTCTCGTCGCTTGATAAACTTAAGATTGAGCCACTGTAGTCACTCGGACTATTTTAACGATGTCTTTAATAACTTTTGGGCCGGCCAGCTTCGATCCCTTAAGAAGCCTATGGAGGAGTGATCCAGCTCTCAGATTTAATCAAAAATATCTTCATTTGTGTTCCGAAGATGAACGAAAGTCTTACTGGGCTGGAACAACATGAGGGTGAGTAATTACTGACAGAATTTTCATTTTGGGGTGAACTATCCCTTTAACTGTAAAGTAAAGTATGTGGCCTACATTATTTGGCCACATACATATCTAGTCACTGAAAGAGTGCAAGCATATTCGTCTTAAATAATTCTGTTTTCAGCTTCAGAATCATGAATATTGTTATTCTGGTGTCTCTATTGTCCTGTGCTTTGGGTTTCCAGCACAGAGTCCAAACCTATTCATTTACACACACAATGTAACATCAAATTTAGCATTTTAATCAACAGTAAATTTTTTGTTAACCTTTTTATGTCTTGGAGTATCTCAATAATATCGTATCGTGATATGTATCGAATCGTGAGATGAGGGTATCGTTACACCCCTACTTAAAAAGCATTGGACTACCCGCAAAAAAAAAGCTTCAACAGAGTTTGAAATTCAGTTTTTGCTGTTGTATTAAAACTGATATTGAGAATTGTGAAACCATGATATATTGTTACTGTGAAGTCAGATTTTGGGTCATATTCTTTGCTAGAAAGCAGAAAAGGTTCCCACAGTTTTACATGCAGTATGAATTTTTTAATAGTGTTCACCACAAGTAATCGACTACATTGTAACCTGGTCAGAAATAAGTATATAAATGGCTGCTATTTTGCACAAGTTTATTTGTAATGGCCAGCAATTAGGCCTATGTAGTTTCTTTATTCACTGTGACCTATGCCTGCACTGGATGGCCGATTTCACATGTATTTTGTGTATTTTCAAAATACAAAATACTGTATTTGTATTTAAATAAAAAATTTTCACACAGTATTTTGTATTTGTATTTAAATACATTTTTCCACACAGTATTTTGTATTTGTATTTTAAATACATTTCCATGTATTTATGCCCATCTCTCCCTGTGCTATTAACTGTGGTAGCTGTTTTCTAGAGATGGTCTACCAGTGGTGGAAAACTTCCAGGGGGCCCCAATAAATCTTAGAATCTTAGCTTAGATAGGAGGGCCTTTGAATATTGTCTTGGACAAAGGGGAGCTTGGAGTCAAAAATGTTGACAACCACTGGTCTAAGGTGGTCGTTGGATGAATTAGATGCAGAGTATTCTTGTTATGTTGTAAATGACTTCATGAAAATGAGTTTCAACTATTGGTTTAGGTACAGGTGTGATGAAAGGTCATTCCTTAAAAGTGTCTTCATCACAGTCGTTAGAACAAACATTTTCTGTTGTTGTGTATTAATAACATAGACTAATCACTTGACCTTCTTGATCATTCATCAAATTCAACTTGACTGATGCATTTCAACTCATCTTGTGAAGAATTTATATATATAATGTCGGAATTTATTTGGGAAGTATTTAAATGCCACATTGTTCACACTAATTAGTTATGCATCATGGAGTTTCTTTAGATAATAGACATTATCCAAAATTAACACTTTGGGTGTGTTGGTAAAACAATATCACGTTCCTGCGTAAGCATTATGTGTCATTGAAACGCAAAGCCAAGGGAGTGACCTTACAAGGTTTGGCTTGTTTTTCTCAGATACACTTACGTTACTGTGTTGATGATAGCATTGGTTTCCCTGTACTACACAGTTTCCAGACCTGTTTAACCTTTTAAGTAACTATGACAAAACATATCATACTTTAGGGGTGATTTTGGTCAAAATGTGGCGATTTGGAAGGTCATCGGGAACGGAAGTGTTAAGATGGAGATGCCGAGGGTCATCAAAAGATGTCTGCTGCAAACTTCACACCAGGGCTCTTGAGACAGGTAGGTGTTCGATTACCTTTAATATTTAAGTAATCAATTAATCAAACGTGAGTTTTATTTTATTTATTTCAAAATATATGAACACACACACAAAATATATTTTTTTAAAACATACCATGTTCACCAAGGTTGCGTTTATTTGATCAAAAATAGAAAAGACTTTGCTATTGTGAAATATTTGTACAATTTAAAATAAGTGTTTCTATTATATTATAATTTTTTATTTCAGGATTATTTGATGAATAGAAAGTTAAACAATTTATTTTAAAATAAAAAAATGATTCTATTGATGTTAAAATCATACTGACCCCAAACTTTTAAAAGGTAATGTATATCAGTATGCATCGGCAATGTATATCATTGTTTATTTTGTTTTGTATAATTGAAATAATAATTGCTCATTTCAGCCTTTAACTTAAGCCTCCGATCAGATGGCATCTGCGGTAGTGTAAAACAACGTCACTTGCCATTCCCAATGTAAGTATAATTCTGAGAGAAATTAATCCAGCATTTCCTGATGCAGCATCTATGTCTAGTATTTTCAGAAAATATGTTGTTTTGAAATTGTCTGTGTGTTGTCTCATCAGCAAGAAAACAAGCTCTTATAGAAATACATGGAGAGAACTGAGAACATCTATGTGCTATTCCATCTCTGGATTCAACTCCAGGTACTTTTGTACCTATGAGCCTGTCACAGGTGAGTTTATGCATTAATTGTTTACATTTGGATGCCATATTAAAATATCTTAGTGATTTAGTGCCTCTTAATCAATGATCATTCATCTCATAAAATAGCAATGCATTTCATGCTTGTATTAACCGGCAGATCCCATTGAGATTCACAAACAGAAGTTGGCATTATGGTTCAGTCACCTTCCTCAAGAGGAGAGGCAATTCGGTGGCTACTTTTCTCCCGAAACTATGCACGTGGAGCCACTTATCCTAGAGCGTCATCCTGATGAGGATAGAGGCCTTAGTCCCTTCAAGGCAAAGGAAAGGGTATCTCCATGTCCCTCTCTCACAGTTGAGCAGCTCTTTGATGATAATAATAATGGAAACAAGGCACGAGGACTAAATGTTTTGCTATATGGCGCTGTCGGCACAGGGAAAAGTACTGTCGTCCGTAAACTGGTGCTGGATTGGTGTGCTGGATCTATTTACTCCCAGTTCAAACTTGTGTTGCCCTTCTCCTGTGAGGATCTTGCCAATTTATCCAAACCAACATCCCTTCGAAACCTTGTAGGCAGGAAATACATGCATCTTCTCAAGACACCTTATCTTAGTGGAGATAATGACAAGGCTAAGGATGTCCTCTTCGTCTTCAATGGAATGGAGAAAATGAAGCTGGATTTTCGTATCGGCTCCTCCGAGTTATGCAGTGATCCCAATGAGGCTCTCCCATCAGGAGCTGTTGTTGTTAATCTGCTTAGGAAGTACCTGCTACCTGAGGTACTGAATGAGCTCAGCACTTTATTTTTGAAGTTTTTTTTCTGTGACCTGGCATGTGGAATCATGTCATGTTCCAGATTAAATGGGTCGTGGTTTTGTGAAGTAATTACCATGGGTTAATGACATGACACTCTTTCTTTTTTTTTCTTTTTTTTTGATTTATTAATTTACAAACACATTAACTGCAATTCATAAATACAGTGACTTTTATACACCTGCTATATGATGAGGATTTTTTTTATTTCTGAATTTAAATTAATTGATATTTTGTTTCTCATAATGAAGAAAAAAAGAATGATATTCTTGAAAAGAAAAGCTTTTCAAGTGAACTAATTTTGTTATTTATTTTGTAAAAATGTGTCTGACATATCAAAGTCATGTGGTGCTACCAACATACCAAAAAAAAAAAAAGGTTCTATCATAAAGAGGACCCCCGCAGACCCTTAGGGCTGTGTGCCAGGGTCAGTCAGTAAGTCTCTTATCATATCAGACAGATAGTTTTATGTGGTAAATTCATATTTATGAATTCATTATATTTATTTATAATACCGGTAATTGGTTTTTATATTGAAACATAAAACTGGATGGAAAATAATGATAAAGATGTGTACAGATACTTTTAAAATTATATTCAAATAATTACTTTTTACTTGGTTGGATTTTACATTTATCTACACTTTTCTTGACAATCATATAAACGTTTTTTTTAAATATGATAATATGAGACCAAAATGAATTTTGAGAATGCATTTATAAGAACTTAGCACATGTGGGGAATCTTATTTATCATTGACCTCCCTGTTTTTAGATGAATGTTTATTGTAATTCATAGCTGCTAAAACATGTTGATTTTCTTACAGGCCAGCATTTTGGTTACAACCAGACTATCTGCCGTGGACAACGTTCCTAGAAAATACATAAAACGTTATGTACAGATCTGTGGCTTCAATGATCCTGATCGCCAGAGAGCCTACTTCACCAGTAGACTCATGCAACAGAATGAAGAAAAGCCGGACAAGGCTGCCGAGATGCTCATAGAGATGCTTTACCTAAATCTACAGCGGGAAACTCAGTTAGCTACCGCCTGCTTCTTACCATCTTATTGCTGGCTCACATGCGCCACTCTTCATTTATTGCATTTTACTGATACGAAGGCACCAATTCGAACCCTCACTGGCACCTACACCAGCTTCATGAGGCTCAACTTCGGAGGAGAAGTGATAACTTTGGACGGAAACATCTCTTCACAAGAGCAACAGAACTCATTAATGCTCTATGTGGTCCGTACAGTTGGTAAACTAGCTTTTGATGGCATCACCAACAAACGGATATCGTTCTCCGATGACGAACTGGAGCAGTGGGTCGGCGGCAAGACTAAAACGGACGAGGAGCTCCAGCAACTGGCGGTGTTTCGCACAGATGTGCTTGATTTCTTTCTGGTGCCTCGTGATGATCATGGTACAGATCCCGAAACTGGTGGTAGACGCTATGTGTTTGCTGTTCCCGCCATGCAGGAATATCTAGCTGCTCTTTATGTCGTTCTTGGCGAGAACAAAAGCGTCCTGGAGAAGTTGACTTGGGAGGTTTCAGAGGCTTTGGGACAAGCCAGTGAGGACATCACAAGCCTACTGAGCATCCTCTCCAAAATCATACCTTTCCGAATCTTCGCTGTTTTCAACTTGCTTAAGTTGTTCCCAAAATTTTTTGAGCGATTCAGCAGCCTTAGCAAGGGGCGTATCGCGAACACCATGGCTGCGGAAATGTTTCGTTCAGAGGACAGCTTCAATGAAGATGTCTTGGACCAGGTGGAGCAAAGTCTGCTGGGAGTGCATGGTCCTCAGCCACAAGAGGAAACCGACACCAGGGCGTTTGAACTCTATCCTATCTTCATGGGTGGACTACTTCATTACGGGAACCGCCGGCTGTTAGACCAGCTCGGATGCAACATCAAGAGTCATACGGTTGCTCAGATCACTCGTGTGCTGAGAAAACACCTGATCAAGGAGAGTATGAAGAAGCAGCCTCCTGCCGAACTCATGGACCTTCTGGTCCTGCTGTATGAGTTTCAGAACCCTCGACTCACTGCTGAAGTCCTACAATCCATCAAGACCATTAACTTGTCAACCGTACGCATGACACCACACAAGTGCTTTGTGCTGAGCACCGTTCTGGGCTGCACACGCTCAACCTTCCACCTGAATGAGCTCAACCTCTCCTCCTGCCACATCACTCCAGAGTTACTGCAGATGCTCTGGCCAGCCTTCCATCACACTAGCAACCTCAAGTGAGACTTGCACGTACTATAGAGAAAACTAGCAAATGTTTTGCATGCTTGAATCATGTAGTGTTCTGCATACAAGTAGAAACCTTTGAAGCATACTGAACATCTAACATAAGCTTTTTGTTTACCTCTTTAGATATTGCTAAATCTGATATTAATACATGTTTGACATGCAGTTAGTTAGTGTACTCCAGGGCTCATCAACTAGCAGTCTGCTCTTCTTCCAAATGTTTCCTGCTGAAAACAAAAACTACCAAACAAGCCTAATAAGTTTTGCTGGTCTTAGCTGGTTTAAAGTGGTCTCCCAGTCTGGTCAAGCTAGTGTGTTTAAGTTGGTTCTCTCAACATGCCCAGCTGAAAAGTCTGACCAGTCTAGGATACCAGCTAAGAATCCTAAAAAAAATTATCACTATTTCCACAAAAATATTAAACAGCACAACTAATAACAATAAGAAATGTTTCTTGAGTAGAAAATCAGCATATTATAATGATTTCTGAAGGATTATGTGACACTGAATACTGGAATGATGCTGAAAATTCAGCTTTACCATCTCAGGAATAAATGACATTTTAAAATACACTGCTCAAAAAAATAAAGGGAACACTTAAACAACACAATGTAATTCCAAGTCAGTCACACTTCTGTGAAATCAAACTGTCCACTTAGGAAGCAACACTGATTGACAATCAATTTCACATGCTGTTGTGCAAATGGAATAGACAACAGGTCGAAATTATAGGCAATTAGCAAGACACCCCCAATAAAGGAGTGGTTCTACAGGTGGTGACCACAGACCACTTCTCAGTTCCTATGCTTTCTGGCTGATGTTTTGGTCACTTTTGTATGCTGGCGGTGCTTTCACTCTAGTAGTAGCATGAGACGGAGTCTACAACCCACACAAATGGCTCAGGTAGTGCAGCTCATCCAGGATGGCACATCACTGCGAGCTGTGGCAAGAAGGTTTGCTGTGTCTGTCAGCGTAGTGTCCAGAGCATGGAGGCGCTACCAGGAGACAGGCCAGTACATCAGGAGACGTGGAGGAGGCAGTAGGAGGGCAACAACCCAGCAGCAGGACCGCTACCTCAGCCTTTGTGCAAGGAGGAGCAGAAGGAGCACTGCCAGAGCCCTGCAAAATGACCTCCAGCAGGCCACAAATGTGCATGTGTCTGCTCAAACGGTCAGAAACAGACTCCATGAGGGTCGTATGAAGGCCCGACATCCACAGGTGGGGGTTGTGCTTACAGCCCAACACCGTGCAGGACGTTTGGCATTTGCCAGAGAACACCAGTGGCCTGCTGGAGGTCATTTTGCAGGGCTCTGGCAGTGCTCCTTCTGCTCCTCCTTGCACAAAGGCTGAGGTAGCGGTCCTGCTGCTGGGTTGTTGCCCTCCTACTGCCTCCTCCACCTCTCCTGATGTACTGGCCTGTCTCCTGGTAGCGCCTCCATGCTCTGGACACTACGCTGACAGACACAGCAAACCTTCTTGCCACAGCTCGCAGTGATGTGCCATCCTGGATGAGCTGCACTACCTGAGCCACTTGTGTGGGTTGTAGACTCCGTCTCATGCTACTACTAGAGTGAAAGCACCGCCAGCATACAAAAGTGACCAAAACATCAGCCAGAAAGCATAGGAACTGAGAAGTGGTCTGTGGTCACCACCTGTAGAACCACTCCTTTATTGGGGGTGTCTTGCTAATTGCCTATAATTTCGACCTGTTGTCTATTCCATTTGCACAACAGCATGTGAAATTGATTGTCAATCAGTGTTGCTTCCTAAGTGGACAGTTTGATTTCACAGAAGTGTGATTGACTTGGAGTTACATTGTGTTGTTTGAGTGTTCCCTTTATTTTTTTGAGCAGTGTATATTAAAAATACATTTCATTTTAATTGTAATAATATTTCACAATATTACTATTTTTTTACTGTATTTTTGATCAAATAAATACAGCCTTGGTGAGCATAAGAGACTTTAAAGAGCATAAAAAAATTTAAATACTTTCATTCCTCTGATTTATGCTAATGTTAATAAAAAAACACAGTATTAAGTGTGTTTAGTGTTGTTCATGTCAACATGTTAAACTGGCCAAAAAGGTGCTAGAATTTGATAACTAGATTTACTAATATTTGGCCCCTTTAAAATGTTATTGAAATTATCCGACCCTAAATAGGAGCTAGCTGAAGTGCTCTGTAATACACTGACATCAAGGTTTATGAATAACCCAAAAAATTTTTTTAATGTGCTGCATCTTATTGATTGAAACAGTATTGGAACTTTAACATGCAACTTTGTACTATGGATTTAATTGTTGTATTTAAGTTGCTTTGCTTGCAGAATGCAGTCAGTAATAATTACACCTAAGCACAATTACCTCATTAGTTATTGATTTTCTGCCTGGGAAATCGGCAAACTAATGGCATGCGTGTGTGTTTTTGCTCACTGTGTGTTTACAGTCTCCAGTTTAACAGCCTGGGTCCCGAGTCCTGCATTCTACTGCGAGATCTCCTACTTGAGCCCAACTGTACTATTAAGTCATTACAGTAAGCCTACTTTCAATAGCACATTGTAACTGTGATATATTCATGGTTGAGGGGTAGGTGACATTTTTACTGACAAAAAAAAAGATACTTCTGTTTTGCCAGTAAGCTTCATGTAATGTATTTATTAGTGGCATAGCATCTGTTCACTGATTCTTGAGACATGGGACAAAACATGTTAAATGTTACCTGCCTTGAGTTTTGTAAATAGCAACACTTCCACATTGAAATTATTCAGAGATGATCACTAGAGTGTTTTTAACCAAACACACCATTTTATTTTATTTACTTTTCATTTATAAAACTACTCACTTTCGTCAGACCTTAATATAATACTTCATGTAAATAAAATAAAAAATTAAAATAAATAAAATGTACATTTTTTATTTCAGTTGTTTTTTCTTTTAGTTAGCTGCCAGAACAACATGTTTAATTTTCATTTAGTTTTCCATCTAATATTTATACTATTTTAGCTTTATTTTAATTAAAATGTTTTTATTAGTTCTAGTTTTATTGTCCCGACTCATATTTCTGATGAAAATGAAAGACGCCAAAGGTTGTGGCCAAATGTAAATGTATAACTGTGACGATGTTTAACAGGTTAATCCGGAAAAAATAATTGATACATGAACTAGTTTTTCAGTTTCATACTAGTACTCAAGAATCAGTGTGTTTATACGAAAAAAGTGTTTCTTGTGAATTTTGTGTTGCTCTGATCACAGGTTGTGTGACAACTACTTGACGGACGCCGGCATCAGCCATTTACTGGAAGCTCTGTCTGGTAACCACTCTCTGCAACAGCTGTATCTGATGCACACGGGCCTCGGGGACCAATCGGCACACATGCTGGCTGAGAAACTGGGCCAGCATAACATGTTGAAGGAACTGAATGTGGCCTACAACAACATCGGAGACAATGCAGCTCTCACGCTGGTCGATGCCTGTCGTGAACATCCCAGCATCCACACAGTACAGTGAGTAGAAAAATACATGTTTTTATTTAATAGTCCAAAAAAAAAAAATATATATATATATATATATATATCTTATAAATCCACCTAATTTCATGCTAATTTGTGATGTTAATACATGTTTAATGTTTATACTTCCTCCCAGCCTGTACCTGAACCAGCTTACCGATGTGGGCAAGCAGTCGCTGCACGTGCGTGGTGGTCCTCGGGTGAAGGAGGGCCGGCGAGTGAAAGTCCTGGCCTCTGTAACAGAGGGTTCAGACATCTCAGAGGACTGGCATCCCATTCTGAGCGTTATTGAAAAGAATTCGCTTTCCTGGGATAGAGGCCGTGTACGCGAGCAACTGCTGGTCTTCCTGAAAGACCTGGAATGGGGTCGGAAACAGCACCCGGGTTTCTGGAAAAAGATGCACTTCCGGCGAGTAGAGAGCGTTGTGAGGCAAACTTTGCGCTTACTGGAAAAGAGCAGTAATACGGGTACAGGGACCGGTACAAAATGATGCAATTACGACTGAAGCTAAAGTGTCTAATTTCTCAAAGGGATATTTGTTGCTAATCCAGTCAGCCTTAAAGGGATAGTTCACCCAAAAATGAAAATTCTCTCATCATTTACTCAACCTCATGCCAGCCCCGTTGTATGATTTTCTTTCTTCAGATCAACAAAAATGAATATTTTTAGGAAAATCATCCATCTCTGTGAATGGATTGGATTTAATGCATTGAATGGGTGCCCACTTGGTTGACGCTTGAAAAACCACACTGCGATCGTGATGGTAATCCATTCGAGCCCATTGGATGCATCAATGTCTTCTTCTCAAGTAAGACGATAGGTGCATGTTAGAAAAAATACTTTTAACTATGAAAACTCGATTCGGGCCAACTGTCTTCTCAAGTTCAGCTTGACATGATTGTACGTGCGTTGTGAAGTTTGCGTGGGAAGTAACGCTGAAGCACAGAGCACAGCCACTTCTTGCGCAAGCTTTACAATGCACTTATGTCATGTCAAAACACCCCTCTCAAGAACTCTTGTATCACAGTAGACCGGAAGCAATGTTAAAAAGTTAAACACACCTATCGTTTCGCTTCGAAAGACATTGATTCATCCACTGGGGTCGTATAGATTACCGTCACGATCGCTGTGAGTGTCAACCAAGCGACACCCATTCACTTGCATTATATGGACTCACAGAGATAGATTATTTTACCAAAAAACATTTGTTTGTGTTTATCTGAAGAAAGAAAGTCACATACATTGGGGATGGCATGAGGGTGAATAAACAATAACAGAATGTTCATTTTTGGGTGAACTATCCCTTTAATATTTCTCACTTGGTTAGTAAAGGGTTAATTTTACTAATCATTGTGTTTACAGCATATCAGTCTACTTTAGCATTAGATCATTTTGAGAAAACACTGTGACAAATGTGTGTTATTTTGAGGGAAAGATCAATATATGGTGTTCCAGAATTTTTCAGATTACTACTTGAAAAAAAACCTTGTTGCATGATGACAAATGTTGGCATTTACAGCCAATTCCTTTGCATTTTGTTCAGCGAGAATTTAGGGTCCCTTGTTATCGTATGAATTATGTGTGTTCACTGTTCTCAAACCTTTCTGTGTCAAATCTTTACACAATATTTGAGTGTCAAATGGTGCTCTAGCTAAACCAAGTAAGGTTAACAAAGACAAGCACTTCTGCAATATACATTTTTTTTTGTCATAATATACGGTTGAAAAAATGTTTGTACTAACAAATTATGACTGAAATTTGCTGTGAATAAAATTGCAATAAAATCAAAATAAAACTAAAAGTGCTGATGTAAGACTTTTGTCATACTGTATTGCTTTGACTTTCAATAAAAAGAAGCTGCTCATATACCATCTCAAAAACAATCAAGCTTATTTGGGGAGTTTGTATAGTCAGTTGTTTTAATTACAGTTGTTTATGTAATACTTCCTTCATCTGATGATGGCAGTTGTCTCATAAACCTGAGATTAAATATTAATCTCCTGGTGGAACAAGGAGGAGCCATACTGACAAAAGCATTGTAATGCTTCATTTAAATGTGTACCTTGCACCCTTTACGAAGCTCAGGGCTCAGCAGGATCATGAGAGTCACCACAGGTAATTTACCACTGTATATATATATACACATATGTATGTATATACAACAATATATTCCATTGTAGTGATTGCACAGCCTGTAATGTAAATGTTAGAAAATAACTTTTAATAGGGTTTATTTTTATAAACCAGTGGAGATCGACAACCTTTACTGTATAATAAAGGTCCTAGAGAAAAAGCGAATGTAGTAATAATGATAGATGGATAGGTGTGATATTAGCAGTGTCATAGTTATATATTTATATCCCTTTATTTCTTTTGATGCACACTATTAAAACTGCATTCATCTGAGAATTTGGAACATTATTTTTTTTAAAGATTTTCAAAAAGTTTTTAAACAGCCAAAGAGTTACAATTATATAAATAAGCTCTGTGCAAATAAATTTTCTTTAAAAAAAAAAGTTTTTTCAATAAAAGTACAGACAAAAATAAGCACTGAATCTGGTCAGCTAAAGATTTTCCTTTTGAACTCTGACCTCAAGTCTTGTCAGCATTTTGTACACATTGGCTGTGATTATAAATCATATTTCTGTGAAGGCAAACTCCTGAGTGTTATTTTAATGTAAAACAGCTCGGTCCTTGCAGTGCATCTTGCAGGCAAATATTGTAAAAAACAAAGCCCTGATAAGGAACTTTATAGTGGTTTTGAATCTATGGAAATGAGTAAAATAAAATATTGTGTCCTACATGTTTATTCAGAACATTTTTAGAAAGGCTTAATGTCTTCCATTTAACTATTTCACGAAAATAGTTTGTCTTCTGCAAATACGCAAGTTTCTGGTTGTCAGTCACACGCCACTGGACAGCAGTTAATATTAAACTGTATTGAAGACTCTTTCACTCGTCTTTAAAAGTTAACACATCATGATATTTTGAGTACACTCTCAGAAAAAAAAGGTATAACATTTTTGTAAAAGTTTTGTACCCTTTTTCTAGGCTTGGTTTATTTTTATTAATATATTTTAATTGTTTACTATTACAGATCCAGTGGATGCCCCAGAGTTACCAAAGTAAGTTCTTCCTAATGCTCTTTAAATGTGACCTTTTTGCACCCGTGCTTACTGACAACAATAAGCATTGAGACATTCTTGATGAATCTGGTTTACCCGGCAGTCACTACATTTTTTTATTTTTGGTTTGTTTACATACAAAATATCTACAGCACAGTGCAAATGTTTTCCACAGGAAGTTCACCTTCAACCCGAAAGAAGGGATTGACAACCCTGCTTTAGTGATCTCGGATGACAAAGGTTAGGCTACTTCCTTAATAATTTTTATCCAATCAGCAACTGATAGATCATTAACTGGCTTAAAGAAAAACAGAGATTTAACATGCTGGATTAAATGTCCCCAGAGCCTGATGTGCATCCGCGGCTGTGTGTTCTGAAGCGGGAGGAGGGTCAGGGCTTTGGCTTCTACCTGAGCAAGGACACTGGCTGCAGCGGACATGTGGTGCGGCAGGTGGAGCTTTGGAGCAGTGCAGAGCAGGCTGGGCTGAGGAAGGGGGACCGTGTTTTGGAGGTCAATGAGGACTTTGTGGATGACAAGGAGCACTCAACTGTGAGAGCACTTCCTTATGCAAACATGAGACCTTTGTATTCTGTAAATTAAACACACAGACACTGTAATACAAATGATATTGGCAAGTAGATGCGCAGAGTTCACTCAAAAATTCTGTCATTGTTTGTTCACCATCATGTTTTTTGCAAACGTGTGATTTGGAACACAAATCATTTTTGTCCCTATACAGTAACTACAAAATTACAACAAAATGCCATGGCCGACAACAAATATTATGGAAATATTACATGATTAACCAATGAGAATCAAGCATTCCAGAGTGTTAGTGAAAAAACAACAACGCTATCATTGTGTTCAAAAAGGTATAGACTCCCAATGTTCACATATTTTATAACAATATTCATCCTGAAAAATTAACAATTATAAAATATTTTTTATTGAACATACCAGCAACACTTTACAATAAGGTTCAATTTGTTTAAGATCTAAGTTATTTAGCCTACATTACTTAACATGAACTAACAATGAAAACTTACAAAGCATTTTATTACAAATACTTACAAAGCATTTTATTAATAGCATTGTTATTAATTTTAACATTTACTAATTTATTATAGAACTTAAATATAACAATATAATTAATATAATAATATAAAACAAAATGTATAAATATAATTTATTAGAACTTAAATACAAAATGGCTAATCAAGGAGACTAATGAGGAAGGCAGGCAGGAAACAGAAACAAAGCAAACAAGACTCTCTGAACATAACAGAATATACACGTTACACATGTATTAACCTTTGTTAATGTTAAGTAAAATGGTTCACATTCATGTTAGTACACAGTGCATTCACATATTAACAGATTTGATCTTAAAAATATATTAGTATATGTTGAGATTCACATTAGCTAAGATGAATAAATGCTGTAGAAGTATTGTTCATTGTTAGTTAATGTATTTAACTAATGTTATTTAACTAACCTTAAAGCTTTATTTTAATATTATTTAATGGACTTAACATGAACTAACAATGAAAAGATTAACAAATATTGTAACAAATGTATTGCTTTTTGTTAGTTAATATTACTTAATGCTTTAACTAACGAGACCTTACTCTGTAAAGTGTTTCCAGCATACTGCATACTGTGTATACTCAGTCTTGTCTGAAACTTGTGTCGGTAACACTTTAATTTACAGTGTCCTTGTTACATATGTTACCTGTACTTTAATTACCATAATAACAGTAAATTATGCATAATTACATGCAACTAAACCTCAACCAAATCCTAATCCTACCCTGACCCTAGAGCTAAGTACATGTTGTTAATTAATATTATTCCGTACTTAAATATATAATTACACTGACTGTAACAATGACACCTCAAAATAAAGTGTAAACCTTGTGTCTTGTTTTCAGGTGGTGCTGAAGGTGCAGGCGTCTGGGCTGAAACTATATCTGTTAGTGCTGAGTGCTCAGGATTATGAGTTTGCAGTTTCGGAGGGAAGAGACCTCATGCTGCTCGCTAGAGCTTACCATCCCGTAGAGGGCTGTTCTCGCCCACGGTTATGTTACATCACTAAAGAGCCTGGCAGCGGCTTAGGCCTCAGCATCATTCCCATTGAAGGTACTGCTCATTTTGCTCTGCACTAAACATGTGTTTAAAGCTTAGATTGATGATTTTTTTTAAATGTATTAATTTAAGATGACTAGTTTAAGATTTGTAAAATTGTATTCACATAACAAGTTTTAGTTTATCAAGACTTCTTAAAAGGGGGCACAGAATCTATCTAAAAAACATAAAAAGCACTAAAAACATTTCTATCATGACAAGAGTTTAGCATGGTAATGGATATGACAATGTTAATGTATTTGGTATTTGGCGGAATAGATCTGCTTTCTGCTGCTGCAGAGCAAGTACAGAGACTTGCTACTGTCAATACACACACAGACACGCAGATGTGGCATGTAAGACATACTGCTGCTGAATAAATATCATATAAGAAATTACACGTAGCCGATCTATACAAGTGAAGCTGTGGAAGGTGGAGGGTTTCAGAGCACTGTGACCAAACCCCTCCCTTTGAAAATCTCTAGGACCACCCTGAATTTTTTTTTCACAAAAAAGCATGTGTATATTTATTTTATATTACTTTCCATTTGATTAATTGTTTCTAAAGAACTCCCTCAGGAGTGTTCATTTTGTTGCCATAAAGTACGACAGACTAGGATATATATACAGAATAGAATAGAATAGAATAGAATAGAATAGAATAGAATATATATATATATATATATATATATATATATATATATATATAAATAAAAAAATCTCCAAAACATTGCTAATTGTATTTACATAGGCTAGCCAAAATAGCTCCTTGTCATAAAACATAAATAAAAGTCGCTGCAACAATGAGAATGTGCTAAATTTGGTGACAAAAATACCAACAAAAAAAAAGCTTGCTGCAAACTGCTACAGCAATCACTGACCAACTATTTAAATGTTGAGCAACAAACTCATTGGCTGCAGACAAGAACCAATCAACTTGTGCCATGTAGTTAACAATGTGATTGTCAGCTAGTTGCGGACCCATCAGCCTGATGGATGGATGGATGGATGGATGGATGGGTGGGTGGATGGATGGATGGATGGATGGATGGATGGATGGATGGATGGGTGGGTGGATGGATGGATGGATGGATGGATGGGTGGGTGGGTGGGTGGATGGATGGATGGATGGATGGATGGATGGATGGATGGATGGATGGAACGGATGGAACGGATGGAACGGATAGATAGATAGATAGATAGATAGATATATAGATAGATAGATAGATAGATAGATAGATAGATAGATAGATAGATAGATAGATAGATAGATAGATAGATAGATAGATAGATAGATAGATACTAAATGAGGAACTTATGAGGAACAAGATGAGATGGTAAAAAAAAGTAGTTGATGCACATCGTCATGAAATGTTTCAGCATGGTGTATGTATACATGGATCATTGTGTACAGTTCTGGTTCATTCAATATGTGAGTAGGTGAGCGAGGCCGTTATCGTCTCAGTCCAGTGGGTGATGGTTCAGCTGAGAGAGCAGGAGTCCAGAATGGAGACAGGCTGATCTGGATCAATGGAGTCATGATTTCAGCACTCACATATGCAGCGCTGTCAAAAATGGTAAGTGTAGTCATAAGTGATATCTTCATTACAATGTAATCTCCAATATTTTCAGTTTTTAGGGACCACAGAGCTTCTAGATTCCACTTTGTTCCATCAGGTGAATAAATGTGAGGACCATGTGACTGTCTTGGTAATTGACAGCAGGAGTGAAAAGAGTTATAATCGCTTGAGATTACCCATAAATCCTGCTTTCGCCAAAACTCATAATCTACCCTACAGACCAAAAACACTACACCTGACTCAAGGACCACAGGGATACGGGTTCCTCTTAAGGCAAGAGAAGTTACGATCTGGATGTATTGGTAAGAAATCACTGATTCTGAGTTGTTATTAACTAAAACTAAAACTATTAAAAGTTTTTGTAAACTGAAATTAAGTTAAAATTTAAATATAATCTAAATATTTTATGGAAAACATAAACTATGTGTCTTGGCAAATAACTGAAATAAGTTTAAGTCGAAGCACTAAAATTATCTGTAATAATAATAAATAAATAATAACAATACATATTTTATAAGCATTAATATGTATGATTAAACATAAATATTAAATGTACAAATATAATATAAATATTACAATAAATAATAAATTGTAAATAAGTAATATTAATATTAAATTATTATATTACAAAATTAATAAATATTTATATACATTTTAAATTACTAATAAAGTAAGAATGAAATACAGTAAATAATTATGTTAAAACTTACAGAATTTGACATTATTTCATTCCAAAGACTGGTTGGACATCATGTGATGTTATTTCATTTTTGATACCCATAGTTTTATGTTTCTCTTCAGGTTTATACATCTAACATACTCTAATGGTGGGTAGAAAAAGAGAATATTTTTTTCAGATAATATTTTAAACATTGTATTGTATTGTATTGTGTATATATAGCCTATATACACAATACAATACAATGTTTAAAATATACATAAATATATATATAAATGGGTCTTTATTTGAAAAAAAAAAAAAAATACAATTTTAAATATATAGCTGCCAATATTTTAGGAAGGAGGTCCCTCGTATAAAAGGAACATATTTGGGGGTCTATGGCATGAATTTTTTTTTTTAAATCCCTGTTTTAGTAGTCAAATTTGGTACTAGCCAGAAACACTGTAGACATTTTATTTCAGTATACAGTATATTTCCATCACTTTGTGATATATTGACTCTATAGCTCATGTATTACGAGAGATCGACCCCTGCAGCCCAGCTGAGACTGCAGGAATGGAGGATGGAGAGCTTGTGCTAGCGGTAAACGGGGAGCAGGTGGAGGATGCAGAGCATGAGGGCATCGTCAGCAAAATACGGCAAAGCGGCCAGCAGGTCACCCTAACCACCATCTCCATCCCAGGCAGAGACTATTACACACAGGTGCTTAATGCACGCATACGCACATGCTCATACAGAGAACACACTTGCTAAACGAACAGCTGCTAAATCAACATATTTTACCTCTGATTGAAGACATTTGACCCTGAGGGCTAACCAAGAGTCTAAGTTCATGCTCCTAATTCTTATGCTACACATGGAAACAGGTGTTTTTAAAAATGAAATGAATCATGAATGTGTGGAACAGACATGGACCCCAGGGAATGGGTGGGGTCGCTGTGACCTACATAGCATAGGAATCATTATTCTTGCAGTAGTGCTTAGAATTATCACTGAGAAGGTGTCTGTTATTTGATCCACTTCAGCTGGGTATTTCTCCATTGCTGTTCTATGAAGACCAGATTCCAAAAAGGGAACAGTTCTCTAAACCTCCCCCACTACATCATGAGGGACACCAAAATCCAGCACACCCTCGACTTTGTGTGCTTCAAAAAGAGGGCTCGGGATTTGGCTTCAACCTAGGCTGTGTTCAAAATAAGCCTGGGACGTATATCGGCCAGGTACTGTTTCTCAGTTTAGTTATTATTTTATTGGTAGATCTACTAAATGTCTTAAATGTTCATTTTAATTTTAGCAGTAATGATGTTTGTAGGCCAACCAGGAAGTTAGCATCTCCCTGTTTCCCTTGACAAAAACCCAATTGGATTTTTCCTTTGACTTTTGGATTATTGCAGAAAAGAAGCTCTGTGACCAGCACAAGTTTATAATTCTTACATGTTTTGTACATCATGAAAAGAACACAACTTTTATGAATTTTGAAGCCTAAATGCATGACGTTTAATATCATCGACAACTTTAGTCCCAATTAGACACTTGTTAGCAAATGCCTTTTTCAAGATAAGGATTTTTTTTTTAAATTTAAGGGGCAGCATTACTAATGTATTTTAAGTTGTAGCAAAAAACTTGAAAAAAATCTTGGGCTTGTTTGAACCAAAGACCTTATTTCAGGCATTTAACCTCAAACCTATTCGAAAAACCCACTGTATTTAGGACAATTGAACCGAAAGTGCTAAAATGCTAATTCGTTTCCAGGTTTTAGCCTACAAAACTATGTCATCCCTGCAGCACTCTATAGCAAAAATGACACAATGTTTTCACACAAGTCTCATTGAGCATGCCCCTGATATGCCATTGGTCGGGCAGATGATAGTCCTGCCCCCAGACCCATGCCATTGGCTAAGACAGGGTTGGGATGCTCAAACAAAAAGAATAACGTATTGATATCACCACAATGTTTACACTTTCAGAGAAAATAACTTGACCTATATTTGTCTTTGCATATTAAAGGAATAGTTCACCTAAAAATGTAAATTGTAGCTTTAACATTGAAAAAATTACAGACTACAGCTTTAAATAAATATGCTTTCCCAAGTCTATGAAAAACTGATATGTGTAATTCTCCTTCTTGTCTATAGGTGATGGCAGGGAGTGCAGGAGAGAGAGCTGGGCTCTGTGAGTGGGATGTGGTGGTAGAGGTGAATGGACAGAATGTGGAGGAAGAGTATTTTGATGAAGTAGTAAGACTGATAAAAGAGGGAGGAACTCCTCTCAGGCTGCTAGTCGTGGAGGGAATACGATATGAGAAACTGAGAAACACCAGACAGACTTCAGGTCTCAAAACCAGCCAGACTTTAAGTTCAAACAAGGTGAGACCCGCTCACACACATGCATGTATTTTTTGATTTCAGGATTATTTTTTCAAATTTAAACATTGTTTTACAGGTTCCAGATGCTTCACAAGATGATTTTGTATGAATTAATATAACGAGGTAAAAACATTCACTTTGTTAACTTATTAATTTAACGATTTCTGTAAAATTTTAATTCTTTAAAAAAAAAAGTCATTTCAAATGCTTTGCACACACTTACGAAGATTGTCTTATGTATTGCAAAGATATTGACAAAGGGGAAAACATGTTTTTCAGAAAAAAGCAAATCTGCTTGTCAATAACCACATTTATTATTAGTGTCATTATTTAATGCAGTCACAACGCATATTTGAGTACAAATGTAATATAAAGCATTATATAGAGACTAGAGTATTTGTGTACAATCAGCTTTACACAAAGTGATTTATATTGTTGTATGAATGTAAAGTATAAAATACAATGAAATCTTAAACTCTTTATTATTTGATTACACCTCATTCTGGAAACTTGCATATAGAGGTGTGATTTCATGTTAATATAAAAAGTTTTATTTCAAAAGTATTCTATGACAGATGTGTAGCATGAGTCAATTTTCACCTTTCAGTATTTTAACTGAATTTTGAATATAAACAGATTTATATTCAAGAATGCAAATCATGTAAAATGTTTGCTCTATGCACTACATTAATAAACTTTTTCCACAGTTCTCTTTTTGGTGGGTATCCTCCAATTCTGTAAGTCCAAAGACAAATAGTTCATTAGTAATCACTTAATTATTATTATTTTTAAACAAAATTATTGCAGTTGCCGAGTCAGACTATGTTACCACATGCTGAATTAACTGTTAAATTACTACCAACCTCTGAGAATTTGGTCTAAGCAAGTAGCGACTCTTTCAGCATCCTCCATACTGAAGCACATTGGAGGTTTGAATTTGATGACACTGTCCCATGGTCCATCAGTGCTAATAACTATACGCTCCTCTTTAAGCCTGAACAAATCAGAAAGTGCAGTTGGTTATCAGATAAATGCAAAAAGCTGAGAAAGAAGAGAAATTGTCAGTACCTTTGAACAAAATGTGCTGCTTCTTCTGTTGCTGGTTTTCGGGACACTCTGTCTTTAACTAGCTCCATACCTATAAACAGTCCAACACCACTGCAAAAAAAAGAACAGAAGACACATCTGTTTGTTTTCTTCTTTGAGATTATAGCCTGATGTTACAGTATCAGTATTTCACGACGTCTCAGTTAAAATTGATTTTCTGCATTTCATACTTACCGCACATCTCCGATGAGTTGATGTTTAGTCTGAAGCTGAAGGAGCAGCTGTTTAAGATGACCTCCGACACGCACAGCATTGCCTCTGAGGTCTTCTTTTTCTATCACATCTAACACCGCCAGACCAATGGCACAGGATACTGGGTTACCACCAAACTGTGTGGGATAAAAAGGTTCAATATTACTTAAACTCACTTTACAAAGGATGTAAAAGCTACATTCATTAGCACAAAATTATTTATAAGCATAACGGTTCTCACTGTGTTGAAGTACTCCACACCATTGGCTGTAAAAGCACCAGCTATCTCCTTTGTAGTGGCCACACATGCAATCGGATGACCATTGCCCATTGGTTTGCCCATAGTCACAATGTCAGGGCAGAAGTCTTCACCTTCAAGCTGAAAAGCCCAGAAATGACTCCCAACACGACCGAAGCCCGTCTGAATCTCATCTGCCACATAAACCCCTCCTGCTTCATGAACGTATCTGAGGAGAAAAAAACAAGCAGCTTCATTCAGCAGGTTCTGAATAAAAAGACGACACTCAACAAAAGTTACAAAAAGACTTACTCTGCTACTCTTTTACAATAACCAGTTGGAAAAATGATCTGGCCACCGACACTGGGTAAAGATTCAGCAAAAAAAGATGAAATCTGTGGACAAATTAAAGGGACAGCTCATCAAAAAAAAAAAAATTTACATTCTTCCATCATTTACTAAACCCTAATGTCATTCCAAACTAAAATAACATTGGACGTCATTGACTTTCATTGTATGGACAAAAAAATGGAGACTTTTAAAAAACATCTTTTGTGTTTCACACAAAAGAGGTTTGGAATGACATGAGAGTGAGTATCTTGGGTGAACTATCACTTTAAATAGGATAGTCAGTATATTTTAGTAAAAAATATTTAACTTTACGTTAATGACTGATTTTTTCCACCATACCTTGCGGCCTTTCTTATGTGCCTCTTCAATTAGACTTTTCACGGTGTCTGCATAAGCCTGTCCTGGGTCAGGATGATCTTCTCTGTAAATACCGTGGTAAGTATCAGGGAGAGGTGCCTGTAGATATGCAAGAAAGTATGATATGCAGCAAAAAGCCTTAATAACTGGTTTAAAAAGATATTTGCATGTCCTGTACGCACCACATGAACCCATTCTTTTTGTCCCTCTAGTTTCCGGAACTTGTACGGGCTGATGTCGATGAGTGAGGTGACATGTCCATGATATGCACTGGAGAGGCAGGTAAACATGACATGAAAATAAGTCTGATGTAGCCATTACCTGCTGATATAAGAATCTAATTGTTCAAAATTTCACATTTTGAAATCTTACTGATCCAGCACGATGACATCCTGGTGTTGGGTATACTCACGGGCCAGTCTCAACGCAAGATCATTAGCCTCTGAACTTTGAAAGAAGACAGTATCTATATAAGATTTCACTGAATATTTATTTTAAACTGAATAAACAGAGTTACTTACCCTGAGTTGACAAAATAAAAGACACAAATCTTCTTTGGCAGTGTGGCTGCCAGCCGAGCTGCATACTGCACTATATTATCATGAAGGAATCTAGTGTTTGAATTTAGAAGATCCATCTGAGCAGCCGCAGCCTGAGTGATGCTGGGGTGACAGTGTCCCACTGCAAAGACAAGATGCATCAAGTGTCATCATGGTTCTGTGATTCGTAATCATGATACTTGACACTTCCTGTAGTGCTCTGGAAAGCCTATTTAAAATTCAATGGGATGATGACAAGAGCTGATTATGTTTCTATAAGCATTCATTTTATGACAATTTATCCTGGTTTTACTACAGGAATATTAACTATGGTAGAAGCGTTGAAGTAGAAACGTTGTAGGAGAGTCAAGAAATATACTTAATTTTCATTACAAATAAACCATTTTTTTTCAGTTATAATTTCTAGATGTGTTCTGACTACAATTATAAATGTTTTCTGACTTTTTTGAATCAAAGAAAGAAAGAAATACTTTTATTCAGCAAGAATGCCTTAAAAATTCAAAAGTGACAGCAAAGACATTTATAATGTTAAAATACTTCTATTTCAAATAAACAGTGTTCTTTCAAACTTTCTATTTATCAAAGAAAAATATATTCCACAGAAATATTAAGCAGCACAATTTTTTCAACATCGATAATAATAAAAATGTTATTTAAAATTTTAATAATATTTCACAATAGGACTGTTTTACAGTATTTTGATCAAATAAATGCAGCCTTGGTGAGAGAGACTTCTTTCAAAAACTTACTGACACCAAACTTTTGAACAGTATAGTATGTGATGTTTTATTTAATAAAAGCTTTTTGACAACTTTTATAAGTTAACAAGGAATCTATATATATATATATACACACACACACACACACACACACACACACACACACACACACACACACATTTTTAAAATAGAATGACACTTAAGATACCCATATAAGCATGCTTGACATAATTTTAAAATTTCCTTACCATGTTGAACATTACTAATGCAATCTAAGTACTGCATGCCATTCTCGTCATATAAATATTGACCCCGTGCTCTCAATATTTTCACGGGATCATGGGAGAAAAAGAGTCTGCAGGACTCTCTGAAAAGACATTGGAAAGAGTATTTAAGCAGAACTGTCTAAAAAGGGCACTTAGTTTAATAATTACAAACAACACCAGACTTAACAGCGCGACGTGTAATATTTGATCCGGTTAACTTACCCAATTAGCTTCCTCCGCATTTGCAGAGTTTCGTCTTTGTGAAAAACTTCCAGAGCCATTCCAACGATACGGTTTCGTCTTCTGCTACAACTGACTGTTTAAACCCTAGATACCTGAGAAGACTTTGAACTGCAGAAATGTAAAAAAAACAAAAACTTAGAGGAAACAGTAGACACTAGACAGTGTATCGTCCATTTCTGATGACGTCACACACCGAGTACGATCTGGAGCTGCAGTACTGAACCACATCAGATTTACCATATTTCAACCCAAAAACTAGGTATGGCATGCATCCACACTGATACATATCAATGTATTTCTGCTATTTAATGTATTATTTACTTTACTTTGCCTTGAGTTGCTGTGTATCAGCAGCATTACCAGCGCGCTGTCAGTTGCTAAGCACGTTGCTAGTTATTCAGCTAGATTAAGACACCTGACAGTCAGTAAAGAGATCTGTCAGTGAGTGTCTTTGACAGCTATTACACTCATGTTTATCAATGTTTACATTCATTACGCATTTTTCAGACCACTGAGTGTTTGTCTATTGTAGTCTGATTTCCTGACTGCGATTAATGTGACACGTATGTGTAGCAAGTTAGCATACCTGACCCTAATATACAGTCAAGTTGGTTATTGTGAGGTCACTTGATCTGTTTTCTGCTCTCCTGTTGCTTAAATATGACTCCCAGATTAATTAATTAGTTCGTTTTTATTAGTGACTCATCAGAAGAGTATAAAAAGGGAATAATTTGGCTCTTAAATATACAGTGTCCCATTCATATAGGCAAACCCTTTTGCAATGAGCATAGAAGACTTTATGATTTACCTAGATGGATCTCGGCTGGTCTTGGGACTTGGATTAGATGCTCTATGTAATTCACACATTTTTTCCCTGTAGGCTATAAATACACCTGTTGATGGAGGACGTGCTCCAGGGAAATGACAGACCAGGGCAATAACAATCAGAACATCTCCAAAAACCCCTTCGCAGCACTCTTCAGTTCTCTCGCTGACGCAAAACAGTTTGCATCCGGACAAAAGCAACGGCATCAAGCTGAGCAACAATGTAAGGTTTTGGTAATAAGCACTGCTCTGCCATTATACTTGCAGGATAACATTAATTTGATGGTACTTTGTAATTGTTTATCCCTATACAGCTGTAGATTCAGGAGAGAGCCAGTCTGAGTCAGAAAATTCTGTGTCTGACAGCATCGATGAAAATGATGACTCAGTGGCAGAGATCAGCCGATCTTTCCGCTCACGCCAGGAGCTCTGCGAGCAGCTCAACGTCAACCACATGATCCAGAGGATCTTCCTCATCACTCTGGACAACAGTGAGTGTTAAACAACTACTTGTTATGAGAACTACATGTCCCATTATCTATAAGTATTTGCTGATTGTGAATTTAATAGTGTTAACACAGTTTCCTATATAATCATAAATATACACTACCGTTCAAAAGTTTGAGGTCGTAAAAGTAAAAAGTAAGTCTCTAATGCTCATCAAGGCTGCATTTATTTTATCAAAAATACAATAAAAAACATATTTTATTTTTACAATTTCAAATGACGGTTTTCTATTTAAAGTCCCAATCCGATCATATTTTGAGCTATTTTTAAACATTCCCAGTGGTCTTTAAATTATGATTATGCCATTTTTAGCCAAAATCACAAAACCTGTGCCGTTTTCTGGGACTTCGCTTCAGCAGAGCGGCAGTTGCTCATTAGCAATTCGCCTCTGCGTTGTGGGCGGAGCCGTTGGCACGGAAGACGCCCCTCCCCCTGCCCGTTGCTGAGAGCTCTGTCTCTCCCGCTAGCTTACACCCCCAATACCGGTGGGGCAACAGTATTATATACACGTTAATTATTATTATCCGAAGTTAATCAAAGTTATCACCGATCACCGATCATTATTTCACTCCAAGACGTCGCGTGTGGAGACGCCCAGTGGAGTTACTACGTCACAACTCCAGTCTATTTTAGCCAGCATTTTAGCGTCTGCTACTGATTCACAGCCATTTGAATGTAGAAATACTCAGAAATACAACTTTGAGCTTATTTTTCTCAAGATATGTCCTCTAACATCAGAAAAATGCCACAAGAACATGTTAACACCTAGAAAAACATTATTTTCATCGGAGTGGGTCTTTAATATATTTTAAAATGTAATTTATTTCTGTGACAGCAAAGCTGTATTTTCAGCAATTTTGGTGAGCTCTTGCAAATTGTAGCCTCTTTTTCCTATTTGTAGTGGAGATGAGTGGTACCCGGTGGGGTCTTCTGCTGTTGTAGCCAAGCGGCAACATTCTAATCTGAAAAATTAAGCCTACCCGGAAGTGCGAAAAACTGCAATACATCGAAAATCCGCTAGAGGGAGGTCCCAAAAGGGAGCAAATATCCATAGACCCCATGTTAAAATGTCCGTTTTCACAGCATAAATTCAAGTTTTTACAGGTTGGTCCCATGGACTTTTATTGTATTTTTCGATAGGTTCCGAGTGCCTGACAACTGTGAGGGGGGTGAATTTTTTTCTATAAAAAATGTATTCATATTTTTTACAGTCTATGGTTGTAGCCCATCCGCCTCAAGGTTGTGCGTGTTGTGGCTTCACAAATGCTTTGCTGCATACCTCGGTTGTAATGAGTGGTTATTTCAGTCAAAGTTGCTCTTCTATCAGCTTGAATCAGTCGGCCCATTCTCCTCTGACCTCTAGCATCAACAAGGCATTTTCGCCCACAGGACTGCCGCATACTGGATGTTTTTCCCTTTTCACACCATTCTTTGTAAACCCTAGAAATGGTTGTGCGTGAAAATCCCAGTAACTGAGCAGATTGTGAAATACTCAGACCGGCCCGTCTGGCACCAACAACCATGCCATGCTCAAAATTGCTTAAATCACCCTTTCTTTCCCATTCTGACATTCAGTTTGGAGTTCAGGCGATTGTCTTGACCAGGACCACACCCCTAAATGCATTGAAGCAACTGCCATGTGATTGGTTGATTAGATAATTGCATTAATGAGAAATTGAACAGGTGTTCCTAATAATCCTTTAGGTGAGTGTAAATGAGTTGTCAGTGCAGCTAAAAATGTAGCATGACTGTTTATTTTATCCTGCTTAGTTTTAGCATCTGCTTAATTTAGCTAACTTTTTATATTGTTTCATATTGGTTTTATTTGATTGGGTGCAAAACATTTTCTACTTCCTTTTAAAGAGTTATTAAATTTGTGCTATTAATAGTATTTTCCCCTGCGGTCCATGACCATATCATATATATATATATATATATATATATACACACACACAATTATTTATATGTATATACTTACACAGTTTGATTTTTCATATTGGTTTCATATGATTGGATGCAAAACATTTTCACTTTCTTTTTAAGAGTTGATGAGTAAAAAAAAAAAATTAAGTTGTGCTATTATTTGCATGTAGTCAAGTCAAGTCATCTTCATTTATATAGCGCTTTTAACAATGTAGATTGTTCCAAAGCGGCTTTACAGTGTTAATAGGAAATTAAAGTAACAGATTGTTTTGGCTTTATGGCAGCTCTAGAAGAATAAAGTTATTTTCCAGTTAAAGTTAGTTTTGATTGATTCACTTCCATCGCAACGATCATTAGTTATTAACTTAGGGGCCACTAACACGCCACCGCCACACGACAACAGAAATCTTCTCTCTACGCAAACTTTTAAAACGTGAAGCGTGCAGATGCGTATTAGAGTTCATTCTATAGGTATGCGTGTTT